AATTGGAGCTTCTATGGCCCTGGATCTTCTCTGGTATACTATTCCTTTATTTCGGCCAATTTCTACTACCTTTCCAGCGATCCGCGGTGCCTGGTAGAGGCTACTTTTGTAACGTTTTGTGGTGTTCATGTTGATTTTAATATCACTTGGTTTTGGTCTGCTGGTGTCCTGTCAGAAAAGTTGGTGTTTTACACAGGAGAAAGTTGTCAATAAAACCTTCTCTTCAGAAATATTTAGAGCTCTTGTGAATTTCTAGTTAAATTTATTCTTGTGAATATTTCTCGTTGATTCTTCCTAAGCATACGTGATAGTTTCATTGGCTACAATAATAAAGCAACAGCATGCATGTACCCGCATATAGCATATAGCAAACTAACAAGAAATGAGATACCATGTTTGAATTTAAACAGATCCAACACAATATAGTTCTCTCACATAGAGCTTTCGACCAGTCACTCTGGTCTTCCTCAGTAGACTGACTCAGAAAGTTATTCAAATGACAGTCGAGATGAGACAAATTTCAATTATTGATATTTACAATTTTTACAATTTAAAGTAATATGCGGAAGCCGAGAGAAGCCAGTAAGACTGAGTATACTCAGTAACCAAGTCAGCACGCCCCACATAATACACCCACTACAAGGCCACTAGGATTAACTTCAAATTACAGACTTACTCTGTGTGTAAAAAAGCTTAAAGCGATCAGCTAACGTTTCTAAGGATAAGGTTGTTCCCAGTCGACTAATTTGTCCGCGTAGAATGTAGAATTTAGAAATAAATTTAGTGATTATTTTCTTAGTGAATAAGCACTTAGAACAAAGTGAGGAAAATTCAGTTGCTTGACTTCAAAACAATGCTTCAATTTACCCAGATAGATTTGTAAGCTAATTCCACAATTGCAAGGACATTGTGGGGATGCGGAGTTTCTAAAGGTGTTACTGTGAAGTAAGCTCACCATTTCCCATCAAAAGGGCTCAGCTGACTTCGATTTGGGACTTATAGGGCTGTATGAAACTTTTAAAAAGTATTTCTTAAAAGGTTTAAAGCAAGTCATATAATAAGGCTGTATCGTTATTGGAACTATAATTGGCAGTCCGTGTGCATTTTGTATCACCGACATTTCGTGGAAGGTAAGTAAAATTTCCTTCGAAAAAAATGCTGATTACGGAGTACAAGGCCTCCCACTGTTGGAAACGTCCTGTCGTGTCTTTGACTAATGATCGTCACAAAGGAAAGATGAGAAGTGCGTTATTACTTGGTTATACATGCACGTTAGGATGGCTACTCTCCAAGCAGAAGTTTGGGTTTTGGCTTACTTTTTGGCGTGTTTTAGTTTTTTTTACGCCCAGTGCAAAAAGGAAACCCCGATTAAAAAAAGCCTAAAAACACGCCAAAAAATAAGTCAAAACCTAATCTTCTGCTTGGACAGTAGGCTAGCTGTAGACATCCTAATATACATGTATAACCAAGTTATAACGCACTTCTCATCTTTCCTCTGAGACGATAATGTCGATAAATAGTTAAGGACACGGGACGTTGTTTCCAACAATGGGAAGCTTTGTACCCTTCGCGTGTCCCATTGTGTGCACGGGTTTCCGACATTGGACACACCTTAATGGTATATAATAATAGGATAGCTTCTATCAGGCTTCGGGAGGCGGCTGGAAATAGTAGAAATCGGCCAAATAGAGAGATAGCAAGCCAAGGAAACTGGTCTGCTGGAGAGAACAGGGAGCGACAAACTGTTCTCTCCAGCAGACCAACTCCCTTGACATGCGATATGCTATCTCTCTATTTGGCCGATTATTACTCTTTCCAGTCACCTCCCGAAGCCTGGTAGAGGCTAGAAATAGGACACCCGTGGAAACCCGCATACACGGCAAGTACACGTCAGGTTACACCGTGAACGTGTCCTAGCTTGGAAACTTTCGGAAATCTGGCTGTTCGTGCAGTGTACCTTTCAACACAGGCGCTCAGCTGACTTCAATGTTAGGACTTATAGGGCTATACGAAACTTTTAAAAGTATTTCTTAAAAGGTTTAAAGCAAGAAACGTCATATAACACTGTCTTGTTATTGGAACTACAAGTCAGTGTGCCTTTCGTATCGCCGATATATCGTGGCAGGTAAGTAAAATTTCCTTTGAAAAAAAAAGCTTCAATCCACGTCTATACGGCGTGTAGATATATGTACGATAGCACCCTGCTCTAAGCTACACTTATGCTAGCCTTGATCCTTCGCAAAGTTGTAGGGCGCGGCGTTATTTTTTCGGCAAGCGACGCGAGTTATGCCGCGGACGGACGATTTTGCCGCCGAGGGAGTTTTGACGATTTCGCTGCCCAAAATTTGCCAAAACTCCCTCGCCGTAAAATCGTCCCTCCGCGGCATAACTCGCGCCGCTCACCGAAAAAAATAACGCCACGCCCCTACAGGTCTGCGAAGGAGGCTACCCTTATACAACGAGTTCATATATGATTTGATTTTGATTTATAGCAATTAAATTGCAACAGTGCAATACACGTGGGACACAGGCAGCTGTTGCTGGTGTTGTGATCCACACATAGAAACGAATACTGGACAGGGCAGTACTCATTTTCACAGTTTAGTGGGGAAAGTCATGTAAAGTGCCTTTCCCAAGGGCACAATATCGGTGGCATGGCAGGTCACTGTCAGTGGAGAAGGAGAAGAAGAGGACGAATAAATTGAGCAAAAGCAATATGTTTTCTTTCGGTAAACATTATTAGTCCATGGTAGCTAGCGACAATATGGAGCTGGCGGTAACGGGGGGGGGGGGGACTGGAAAGAGTATACCTTACCTTAGACCTTAGAAATCGGCCAAATAGCGAGATAGCATGCCAGGGGAGTTGGTCTGCTGGAGAGAACAGCTTGCCGCTCCCGAAGCCTGATAGAGGCTAGCTTTATCGGACGCACCCGTAATTTATTACTACTCCACCCTTTACCGTTGTATATACTGTACCGTCCCCAGGGTCAGTACATACAAACAGTTCGGCTCAGGTGTAGAAGCAACATCCTGGACTTTTGGCTGAAGAGACGTATAGTTTGTGGTGACGCTACGTTCTGTGATATTAAGGTACGTGTATCCTTTAATTCGTCTTTAATACTAACAATTGAACACTTTGGGAGCCAAGTCACAGAGACCCCGTCCGAAACTTACGCCTCGATTTTACCCTAGTGTGTCGCTTCAAGTAGCTAGTCCCTAGCCTCTACCAGGCTTCGGGAGGCGGCTGGAAAGAGTAGAAATCGGCCAAATAGAGAGATAGCATGCCAAGGGAGTTGATCTGCTGGGAGAGAACTGTTTGCCCTCCCGCTAGCTAGTCTTCACCATCCTAACAACACGGGCTAAAAAACAGAAACATTTGGCTACACGGGGAGAACAATTGTAATCTCCAAGCAGATCCCTCTCGGTTGCAAAAAGACAGTATCAAATTGGCCAGGCAGTATCCATTAGCCAGAGAAGGTCCGCAGCCACTGACGGGTGGTGGGGGTCAGGACAAAAAAAACGGCCATCTATAAAAATGTAACGATCATTCCCCCACAACCTCTGCTTGGAGAGTAGAATAATTGAGTTTAGCCACCGAAGGGGGGCATTAGCCCTCCCCCAGCCCGTGTTTCCTGGCCAAGTATTCTTGTTTCGCCGAATTCTACGATCCGTCACCGTAAATCCGTAAAAAATGGTTGTAGCAAGAATTTGAATTATGTCAAGGATCCAACTTATGCTGTTTTCAACATTTTCTGTTTTATTATGTCGTGTAGCGAAGCTCTTTAATCTATCAACAATTGAATAATACATGTATTAACATTGCAGAAGTAACATCTACCTTTACGCTAACTTTACAAATGTAACATAAAACTTAACACAGTAGTAACACACGATACAAAGGGACACTATATATTCTATTATAGTATAACACAAAGATATTTATTATATAGAAAAGAACACCTATGGCTGGCAACTAACCGTATTTTGTGACGATCTTTAAATCCTGTTATGCTGTACAAAGGTTTGTTTTTTTCTCCCTACATCATAACACTAAATGGTGACTTCATAAGTTTCATACGTGCATATCCTGGTTTCGTCTAGACTCTAGTCTCCAGGCAGAGGTTTAGTCATAGGCTTGGTTTTTTTTACGTGTTTTTATGCGTTTTATCGTGCTTTGTTTTCTGTTGGTTTCTTTTTTTTCTCCAGCCAAACTTGGGCACGAAATAGGCTGGGATACTCTCATATCCGGGCCGGTATCTTGCCGTATTCTTTAAAAAATACGAGCATATACGAGCAGATGCGCTTGTTCGTATATGCTCGAAACCTTAAAGAATACAAGATACCGGCCCGGATATGAGTACTCAAGCTTATTTCGTGTATTATATACTGTCTGGCCAATTTGATACTGTCTTGCCAATTCAATACTGTCTTGTATGACAGCCACCGAAAAATCTGCTTGGAGACTATTTTTTGTCGCCTGTCTGAGGCAGCTTGTACTTACCAATGTTGAAAAAGAACAGGTGTACCAGGCCTTCAGGCGGCAAAGATTACAATCGGACTACTTGTCATGGGTCTAGGTTTACTCATTTTCCTTCGTTTCCAAACGTCGGGAAAATAACAATAACAACACTAGGAGGGCCATATTGTTTCTGAGTCTATTAAATTACTACGGTTTAAAGGAACCATTCAAAGAACGTTAACGGCATACTTCCTAAACAAGACTTTTGAAAAAAGTTTATCTCGGCCGCTGGCCATGTAGTTTTGTGTTCTTGGAGGATGTCCACATAGATTTGTGTAACTGCTAGAGAGGAAAGAATGTATTACCTAGTATGTTCATACCTGTAACACCAAACAGGGTAATAAGTTGGCTTCCATTATCATTTGCTTCAATGGAATTAGTGAAAAATGATCATTGCTAAATACAATATAACGTTAAGTATATGTAACCACTACTAATAATTTTCACTAAATGATCATTGCTAAATACAATATAACGTTAAGTATATTGTTAACCTACTACTAATTAATTTTCTATTTTTATTTTTATTTTTTTATTTTTATTTATTTTTTATTTATTTTCTATTTTATTTTTTATTCTGTTTTATTTTATTTCATTTAATTTTATTCTATTTTATCCGTTCTATGCATTATCAAACTTCTCCTCTACTGCTAGAGCTACTAAAACTTCATACCGAATATATTAAACATTTTAATTCGCCCCCTCTAGCGGTTTGGGCCAAATTGCAGCTTTCCAAAAAAATCCAAGATGGCGGCGGCAGATCGGCGCGGCTCGGCGATTGCCGATTTCATTGTATTTTCCTTGGTCTTTTACGCGATTCAAGCAAAGAAAACAAGTTGACCACAAGAACAAAAGAGTAATACAGCACTGGGAATCTAATGGTCCGTTTTGTTGGGCGGTAATTTCTCATTTCAAGTGAATATTTACTTGCGTCACAGTGATTTATTCACCAATCAAAAGCGACATCTTGCGACTTAAGCAAATATGGAAGGTTAATGTACATAATTTATGTCATTGATTTATTGGTCCAATTACCGCAGCTATTAGCGAAATTCTAGAACCTTAAATGCATACTATGATATAAAACAATGGTTTTGTGGTAAACAGCATTTCCTCTTTTTTAGCAACTTCGTTGTATAAGAATAACGACACTATCATCCGGTAGCTCGACCCCACAAAGTAAAGTATACACGCAGAGTAATTGGTTTCATTGGGTTTTTTTTCACGGTCGAAAACACGATCCAACGTACATATTTTGGAGCACAATATCTCGGCCGCTTCAGGCGGCCGAGATAAAAAAGGACAAGGTTATTTTTGACACCATTAAAATTCCGCCAGACTAACGTAAACACTAAACATTCTTATTTTGTCAACAAAACCAACAGTTGTATGTGTGAAAGTCGACATAACAGAAATTTTTCAGCTGTCGGTAAATTATTTTCAGCTCCCTGTCACATAGGTACATTTGTAGTACGATCGTCGTACGAAACGGTGAGGGTTCTTGCATGGGGTAGTCGTTGATATTTTCTGCAAAATTTAGCTGTCTCCTTGTTACCGTTACCGTATTAGTTTGTTTTGGATCCTTGTCGGGAACGTTAGTTCTGTCACGTGCAGCCTGTTTGAACATTTGGGGGCATCAAAATTAAAATCGGACGGCGAACAACGACGAAAGTGGTCGCGCAGTAGCCTCCACCAGGCCTTTCTACGGGAATACGTACGGATCGTAGAATTCGGCAAAAAAGACAGTAAAATTGAACAATGGAGTCCGGCCGCGGGGAGGTAGTTTCTTTCCTAACTGCGCGGCCAGTCAAACCTACAAGGCGGCCAAACTCCCCAGGCAAATTCTCCTATATATAGCCAGCGTAGTTAGTCTGGTAGAGATTAGTTTCAGCTAGCGCAGTGCGTGCGTCTAACTTCGCGTTATTGCAAGACCGCGAGTGTCTGTAACAAAACCAATGTGTTAGTTACTAGTAGCTTGGAGGCCTGGTTGGGGTAGTGTTTTGTTTATTTGTTTATGTTTTTTGGAAAGATAAAGGGAGATGGTAGTTGACAAAATAAGGTTGATATTAAGAGGCGCTATCTCTTGTTGTTGCACAACAACACACCGTTGGGGTGGGGCTCATAAAGTACGTTGTCTAACATGTCAACAGTAAAGTATTCCGATCGCGCTAAAAACGCCGGCTTGTGTTTGAAGCACAAACAATCCATTTGTCAGCTCTCTACTGGAAGGAAACACATACGCTACTAATATCGATCATGTTGAGAAACAAAATAACAAAATAAACTAGGGACATAACATTTGCAAATGCAAAATGTTTACCTTCGCATATGGTCTGCTCTGTTAATTCTTATTCAGACACATTCATACGTATGGTGACAGGAGTCAATCCCTCCTGCTATAAAATTACAACATGATGTAACCCAACACTAGTTACTATGGTGACAGACATCAACAACCTGATGGTCATTGGCCTATGTCAGAGGTTAGTGTTTGGAACATAAGAAGAGGAAGAGGAAACGTATTAAAAGCAATATGTTTTCCTTCGGTAAACATAAATAGAAGTCCAATGTTTCAGTATGGGATATGTGTGGCCATTTTGTTGTGTCACATGGAAGGGTTGACCCAAGATACCCTGGACTACTTGTATTTACTATTTACAAAAATCAATGTTGGACTCTCCAATATTACAAATTGATCATCTGAATAAACCTGGTACATACGGCAAACACGTTAAAAACAGATTTTCTTTACAGAGTACAAGTAGCCTCCTGTGCAGGCCTTTCGGCGTTCTTTTGCCAGCCATCCTACAACCAGTCGCCCATAGAAAGTTAGTACCCGTCTGGGCAGCTGGTTTTAGGATAGCCGGCAAAAAACGCGTTAAAATTCTACAAAACGCAGTATCAAAACTGCCACCCACCCGGAGGCCTGCACAGGAGGCTACTTCCAGATCATATCACTCCGCGCTCCTTAGCAACACCGTTGCTAGGGACGGAATTTTCCCGCGCTTGGGGCATCAAATTTCATCCGACTTGTGATAGCTGATTGCTGATTGGACCAACGTTACTCGTATTCGTAAAAACATGGAGGTAGACTTCTACCTCCATATGGTAAAAATCAATGTTGGACTGTCCAACATCGATCGTTAGAAATAACCTACATGTAGCGCCACTCTTTCGTTGTATACTTATTACTCTAATACAGGCAGAGCCAGACTAACTCTAACGAGAGTTCTAGGAGTCAAGACAGGACAGAAAAGTGGTTTTGTACGTCCAAGGCCGTCGGTAGGTAAAAATAATCTTTTGGTTGGTGTTGGGAGAATCCCCACTGCACATGGATGATTGTTGAACACATGATCTAAATTCTTTCTTTACAATATTACGAAATCCATGAATGAAGGTAAAGTTACCCTTAATATTTGTCTTCGTTGCCACTGGAGAAGCTTATTTGCCCCCTATTGTTACGAAAGTTCGAAATTCATTATGCTTTTTGTTTTACATTTCAGAGAAATCGCCATCATGGTTCGTTGTATAAAATGTCGGGGACATGTGTTCAGAAGACCAAAGTTCGGTGTGTTCCTCCTTTTTCTCGTGGCGTTTGCTTTTGCCTCCGTATTTCTGGACTGTAGTTGTTGGAAAGACAGGTTGCTTCTTGTGAAAGAAGATTTAACTTTTCAGTCGGCAAAAGACGACGTAACTTTGGCAAATATGTTGCGGGAAGAAAGAAACCGAACGAACAAACCAAACGACCAACCAGAGACTCCAATGGAAAAGCCACCAAACATAACAACGATGGGAAACGTATCCGATAACGTGATTAGTCCAGCGATGCCGCAATCTCGACCAATGAGAACCGTCGAACCGACAACAGACGAAAACAACGAATTTCTAACTTGTAAGGAGATATCAGATATTAGCATCATCAAAGGATTGGGACATGGTTATACAAAAGTCGTGGAACTAGGGTCGTACAGGGGCCAAAACGTTGCCGTCAAGCGAGTACAACCCAGTGTAAAGGATATCACAGCATGCCGACAGCGAGTGGACAAGGAACGATGGCACGAGTGTTACCTCTTTGCAAATTACAAGATCATGAAGGAAATACTACTCCAAAAGCAGCTACAACACCCAAACATTGTAAAGGTAAAATATCGGTAAAACATATCACAAAGTACCTAAAATAATCTAGCTAGATTATTCTAGCCTATTTTAGATTATTGAATCTAGATAAATTAATTCATAATTTGATAAAATTATACGTTATAATTCTATAGAATGGCAATTTGATAAATCATAATTAGCTAGGAACAAGTTTGACTATATAGTAAATTATCATATCATTTAACAGATTGCCATTTTATTAAATTATATTTTGGCTAGCTAGGAACAAGTTTAACTACAGTAAATTATCATATAACTTATCCGGAAGAGGATTTTTGATCATTTATGAAATGACAAAAAAATTGTTTAGTCTTTCGACTAGCGTTTACGGATCTAAAATATTTATTTTATTTCTTTTATATTTGTATATTATTAGTTCTACGCTATCCTATCTTGGATAAACATGCCTTTTCTCAGCTCCTAGGCTACTGCATTCGGAGTGAAAACATCGCGCAGAGTTTAGCGGAGCATGGAGTAGTGGCCGTGACGGAGGTCGGCCGTGAGTTTAACACTAAAGAGGCGCGGAACATGCCGTGGAAAAAACGACTTGAGGTGTGTCTTAGGAAATACTACATTAAGCAATCTTCCTTCTAAGTACCTATTTTCTTGTGCTATCATGAAAGTTCATCTGTGTTGGTAGTTACATGTTTAAAGTTAAAACTTTTTTGGTCCAACACAAAAAATTCTCTCACCTAGAGCTTTCGACCAGTCACTCTGATCTTCCTCAGTAGACTGACCCAGTGAAGCTTGCCACGTGGCTTCCTTGAAGTGTGACGTCAACACTGGGTCAAAGGTATCTGGTAGACGATGTCGGCCCCCGTCGCATTCATATTTTCTTGTGCTTTTATTAAACTAACAAAATGGTGGACGTACCAACTACTAAGTATCTAATACCAGCCCAGAAAAGAACAAGAAACAGCCGTGCCTTCAAATATCAGAGTTCAACCAAGAATTGAGGTGTTAAAAAAATCGTATTTTCTAAGAACGTAGAGTGGAACTCGTTGCCACCAAGCACAGTTGGGGCATCATCACTAGAAAGCTTGAAACAACTCCTGCTAAATGTGCAAAGATTGGGTGCAACACCTTCGGTGTTAATATAGCTGGCTGCCGCCGCGCCGCGTGCCTGCGAAGCTATTGTGTTACGCCGAATAGCGGTTATACCGGCAACTAGATACAGAAATTAACGAACTGTTTTTTCCAGATAGCTCTGGACATAGCTGATCTCCTGGACTACTTTGAGCATTCTCCTCTCGGCTCCCTCATTCTGGCAGACTTTAAGCCGAGCCAGTTCATCTGGGTAGGAGACAAGGTCAAACTCGCCGACATGGATGACGTCAGCAGCGTGGAACAGGCATGCGCAGTGCGGTCAGACTGTGGCAAAGGCTTATACATGGGTACGTCATCAGTCGTCATTATCTGTCAGGCCAAGAGACAAACTTGTTGTTCGCAATGACAGTCTAGAAATTTTCTTAAAACCGCCCGACAGAAAAAAAAAGGATACAGAAACCAGGAGTACATAATTTAGGCGTAAAGATCTTTAAAACCAATATATCTAGAATGGTTTATTACTTTTTACGACACCCACTAAGATTAAAAAGATCGACTTATTTTCCCCATACACATTTATCAACTTTTAGCCAGCAATACTTTTATTTAAAATCAATTAACCCCTTGAAAGTTAGCCTGTGTTCCATCTTGGTTAGTTTACGTCCGCTCCCACAGTCGCTACACAGTCGCTACTGGTAGCGACTGTGGGAGCGGACGTAAACTAACCCAGGTGGAACACAGGCTACTTGAAAGTCACTCTAAAATCTCAAACAGCCTTAAAACGCCATTTCCGTCAAAGATACTAAGTACGACAAATGGACCAATTTCCCTTGTTTTCTGTCTTTAGATAACGTTACACCTTGTGTGGACGGCGTCTGTCGTGGGCTGAACGCCATGCACAACATACACGGCGCCTACAGACATATACTTCAGTACTTACTGGTGCATGTTGATAAGGAGGTAGGTACATGTACTGCACCAGTTTGTCCACATGACGTCACAGCCATCGGTCGCGTTGATTGGTTGAAGCGACCGAAAACTATTTTTTGCATGTGGAAAATGTGTTAGTGTAGAAATTATTATTATTCTATTAATCCAAATTTACACGGGAACGTTTGGGTTTAATCATCCAACATGGCCGACAGTAATGACGTCATTGTCACGTGAGAGCGAAAAACAGTACCACTCCTTATAAGGTGTTATATATATATATCAGATGAGGCATAAATGTAATATTATGTTATTGAATGTACAGCCTGAAACATACATATGGACAAATGTACAGCACATCCAGGATAATCATTATACATTTGATTTTAACATTTAGCAATTGCTCAGTTCATAATTAATTAAAGATAACCTTGGTTCTAAGAAGATCTAGCTAATGTATACTTAATATTTTCTAACACAATCAAGTGTTATTTCTCACCATTTTCTAAATGAATGAATGAAAATATGAAAATCATCTTACCTTTTTTCAGGTATCATATACCTTGAGAGAGGAAATAAGGAACTTGTCTATAGATGCCGCCACTCTTCGATCCAGGTTACAGCAGTTGCTTCAACTGGAGAACCAAAGACTACAAACTGGATAACATTAGTTTACATAATACAAAGAATCACACAAGTGTATAAATTCTGTAGTGTCAGATAGCATCGACTATCATTGACAAAAGATAGCAGATGATATCAATCTGAAACATCTGATCATTCTAAAGAGAATTTATCCAACTGCTTGGACAAGTTTGCATTTAACCTTCATCGACGCACAAACTGAATAGAGAATCTTTTACTACAGTGTAGTACCGGTATTTGAATGACTTGTCATCATATCAAAAAGATATTCTTTAAAGTTTTGATGAAGTCCGTCCATTGTATTATTTTCAGAGTATGAAAAAAGCTCATTTGATAAACGAAAACCGTGGACTCTGTTGTGCTTTGTTCCTTAAGTCAACAATAAAATATCTCATCTTTTTATTGCCACAATAAAGTTTGTTTAAAAACTTGAGGGATTGCATTTGTCAGTTTGGATGGTGACATCAAGCCAGCAGCTCAGTCATGGGAAAGCTTCATGTCAGTAGCCTCAAGCGTCAAACCTCTACACATAACAGAACCCAAGAAAGTTATTGAGAAAAGTAGGGGTAGCCTAGCATTGGCAGGGAGCAGATCTTGGGGAGCGGACGAAAGCTAACAAGGCTGACACTCAGGCTAGGGGTAGCCCGGTGTGTTTGGGTGAAAATGTGAGCTGTGGTAAGACTGCATTGCACTTCCAGCTATTAAAAAAAGGCATCATGCTTCGTATTCTGTCTTTGCTTTACCTTTAAACCCTTGTCCTGCTGGACTTTTTTTTACACAATATTTTGAAGTAATTTGAAGTCGTAATCAGGTCACAGACCCCTGACTTCTTTTGCCCTGTGGTGGCGTAGTTACTTCCGTATTTGTTGCGTTTTGCTGCGGTGTGATGCATTGCACGAGAAACACCCCCAAATCATACATACACACGGGGCACTATATAGATGGTACTGTATGTGCAACCCATATGGGTCCTGCAGGACAAGGGTTGATAGGAATTTCAACTGAACATCAGTCAAGATCTTCAACAGAGATTTTATTTGACACAATTCTCAACTATTCCTCCAATAGATCTGGCACATTAAAACACATCATGTTTCTTCATATATACAAATTATACACTCAGCTAAACAATGACAATAACATCTTCAATATGTACACACTGTACAAATAAATTACTATCTCATAATCCATGTTTACAGAGAGTGTACTCCACAGATATGCAACAGTATTACATAGTACATTATACACTCTTCAAAATGGTTTGAATCAGCAGGATACTATTTAAAATTTGGCCTACATGTAAGTCATCCATGGTGTCAGTATGGCTTTTGATGCTTAAAACCTTGATTCTAAACCTTAAAAAATGTACAAGTGAAACAAATTCTGAAGTATCATAGATTCTAAGTGCACAGAAGAAAGATATCTATTCCATATGAATGTTTCTTATCATTGGTGAAATTGGAGATGATACCAAGTAGCAGCATTTTTCGACACTTGTGATTCTGCAACCACATACTTGTACTGTAGGCTTTAGTGGGTTATGTACTACAAGCTTGCATTTCTGATGTCCATACAAAAATTTGCTTGGAATGTTAAACATCCTCCTAAGATCAATAATTTAAATAGAACAATAAAAACACACATATCAATAAGTTACCACATAATAAACAATACAGTGTAGTACATTGTATAATACTGCTAACAGATACATTGTACTTTGAAACCAAGACAAATGCATCCAAGTACAAGTACTCCAATACAATGTACAATTATGGACCACAGCGTTTTAGTGATCACCCAAAAATTACACCATTAACTGATTTTACTCAGATTTTACAAATGGAACCTATTCACATGGTACTACAACATACCACAAATTCAAGACAGATTAGGACACGTATACATAATGTCTCTTTTATTCCAGATATTATGAAAGTCAGAGTTCAGTCACTTCCTACAGAACTAGGTGGTTCAGGATTTGACGCAGTGTCGCCAACCATTTCTTGGTCCCATGTACAGCTGCCATTTTCTCCTCTGTTCACAGCAGTTGTGTGGTCCGTACTGGCCCCTGTTCTGCCTGCTATTGCCTCCTGTAGAGTAGAGTAGAGTAGATGGGTTTATTCATTAAACAAGCAAAGATGCAAGTACCGACAAGCCTCCTGGCAGCTGTGATGGCTGAATTACGAGGCTTATTCTGACAACACATTACAACAAAATATATACATTCATAAATTTCATGCTGCATGGTAGTGATTATGAATTACGAAAAATTTTTGCCGCCGATTACGGATTATGTTTAAGTCTCCGTGCTGATTACGACTTAACGCTTTGTGGTGAACGTACTGATGATGAATTACATTGATTTTTGGGGGAGGCTACCTACGGATTACGAAGACTAAAAAGGCCTGATTACACCTTACAGAAATGGGCATGTAGGCCCCCATGTAGAGTTGAATTAACAACAGCAATTATTAGTTAAAATTGATAAAAGCACTCATATTACACACCTGTAGCAGCAGTGCGTCCCAGCTGTTGGTCATGTTGTTTATAACTGTGCTGTCGATCTCCATAGGTACCTCTCCTTCCTCGAGGATCGGTGACGGGATGTCCACCATCTCCGAGCTGCGGGGAGGTACGGCGCACACATTCCCGGGGCAGCTTGCTGCCGCCTCGCTCCCATCATGCATTGGGGCGCTCTCATTCCCAGGGTGTGCTGGCACTGTCATCTCGTTCCCGGGTTTCGCCGGCGTCGGTCGGACGATCCGATGGTCGTCTCGTGGTGAATCTCCGGAGAATTTTTCGGCGGCTTCGATCATCCCCTCGTCGAACATCCGGTCCAGCTGGGCGGCCATGTCCCGCTCCATGGAGGTCGGGGAGGAAGGCCCAGCACTCGAGGCTGCCGAGGTCGGCCAGCTGCTGTTCACATTACCTACAAACAACAGGTTGGACGGCTGGACCTGCAACCAGAAAAACATTTAGGGGAAGAAACATTGGAAACTATAATGCCCATTATATGGAACTTCACCATCATATTCCCCTCCCCAACCTACCAACAAAATATCCATGGAGGGCTGGACCTGTAACACAATTAGGGGATCGCAAAACAAGAAATCAGAGATTTCAGACTTGCTGGAAGCATTTTGGGGCTTAAAAGTTTACCCCATTTCCAGTGTCTGACCTTTTGAGCTCCTTTTAAAGGGCTGGACCTGGAATACAGTTGGGGGGGGGGGTGCTGGGTGGTAACATTGAAACTAAAATCCCCATAATCGAACTTGACCTTCATGTTCCCATCCCAACGTACCAAGAAAGTGTTATGAAAACACATCCACAACATGAGTGACATTGAGACATTCAGGTTTTTTTTCAGGTTTATCTTCTTTTGCTAATCACTTAACAATAGTTTCAATTAGTTTTAAGAAAAGTAGCTGTTACATACCATGCGAGGAATGTACATGTTTGGTGTGGAAGGTTTGGGTGGAGACACTGTTGTCGGGGTCTGGGGGCGGCTGGGTTCCTTGATGACGTAACCAAAGAAGTCATCAATCTGCTTCAGGGACAGCGAGTTGTGGAGAGTCTCCAGGGGGTGGATGGACGGAACGGTCGAGTAGCTCTCAATCCCTGGGGAAAAGAAATTGGGGTTAAATGATATTCAACTTTTTCAACAAAACTAGAGCAGAGCACCCTGCACTAGAGAGGCACGGTAAAAGTATAAAAGAAGGAGTGGTCCGATCTCTGTCATTCTTGATAAAGACTGAATTAAAGTCGAAACTGGTCGAATTCCGTCTCATCGTTGTCATCTTCCCATCGCTACGAATGATGATATCCAACTTTTAACATGATGGCTATACGAGGTTCTTGTAAGTCTACAAAAAGATCATGCTTAACATTAAGAACTTGCTCCAAAAACAGCTATTCAAGCATCTTGATGTGATTTTGGAATATCCAGTTGCTTGAGTAACTTACTGTTTTTTGGCGTATTTATTACCTGGATGTCTAACCTTCATCGACAAGAATTTACCGTACATGAAACAGAACAAGAGTCTACTACTATTACATGCATATATGTGTTGAAAATAAAAAAGAGTCATAAAAACCTGTCTTCATCATGACCCATATGACATTTAAATGTTACCTGAGACAGGTGTTACGACATGTGGTGCAGAGAACTTCCTGCCTGTAGCCATGGGGTTGTAGGTCTGCAGGTTTGGCGCACTGGAGGAACTGCTCAGGATCGTGTTACTGAACAGGCTCTGGGCAGCTGGGGGGGGGAGGGAGAAGCATAGTCAATCTTAATCAATCATTCTTTCAAGTACATGTACCTCACATAAGAAATCATCAGCAGACACAGATTGTATTCAGGATGGTGTTACTGAACAGGCTCTTGGCAGCTGGGAAGGACAAGTAAAGCCAAATCATATCAATCACTGAATCAAGTCTTACCTCATATACAATCATGTCATGTAAAAACTTGTCATGACACACAAGACAGACACTGTACACTGTCAGTATTCACAGAATCACTGTACTAGAGAAAAGCCATAATAGTTGATTAAATATTTTCAACATGCACAATGAACACTGGACCAAGCTGAAACATTGTTTCTAGCTACATGTAAAAGGGTTTATTTAGGCCAATGTATATCATTTCAATCCTTAAAACCTTTCTAGACGCCTGGGTGCCATCTAATTTGCTATGGGCTCCTTTCACTTGTAGGCCGTGTGTAAGACCCCGCAAAAAATGGATGGCACCTACTGTAAGCTATCTTTCTAGTATTGTATATTTGATATATAACATGTTAATACAGTCATATACTTTACCCGTATGTCCTGCCCTGTCATCCACACTCCTTTGCTCCTCCTTCAGCCGGAGTAGAGGGGGGTTCCTCTGGCCAGATGGTCCCACCGTGGCTCCCTATGGGGGAGGGGAGGGGGGAAACTCATCATCCAAGTTTAAAGTCAAACTGTAACCTCTATTACCATCTATCCACCAGGTTACATATGTAAGTACATCGGTGAAGGTTAGACATCCAGGTAGTACAAATGTAAGATATGCCAAAAAACAGTTAAGAAACTGGGTATGATTTTGGAAACGGTCAGACGTTTCAGATAGCATCCACTACCTTTTGTCAGTGAATCATAATTATCCAGTTGCTTGATTAAATGTTTTTTGGCGTACATGTATCAGTCACTTTGAAAAAACTGTGTTTGAGAGATCTCTAGTGCAGCACTTCCAAGTACAGTATTCACAAGTTAGTTATGCAGGAGTGCATTAGACTGGGGGATGTTGAATTGGAAATCTGCTAATGCATTTTTTCAGGATGGCAGATATACATGTATGTGACCTGGTAGAATTATGTTAGTAGACATTACACATGTATAGTCTTCAATTTGTACAGGAACTTCCTATACATCCTTATGGATAATTCTTCACTTATTTGCTGAGCAATTTTGTTCTAGGCCACACCAATCCATTCTTGGTTCTTGGATCATGTTTTTTTTTTTTTTGTAATCTGATTTGAAATAAAATATGTAACAAGGAAAAGAAGACCTTTACCATTCTGGGCACCCATCTTTTGGTAAGAAAAAAATCTGACAACCAAGACATTAACTGGTGTGGGCCTAGCAAATGCACATGTACAGTCATAATGTTACAACACCTCTTAAAAGTGTAACAACAAAGAGATTAAAAATCGGCACTTCAAATTGTTAACAAAATCACACAATAAGAACAACAAACTTAATGATACTGAAATACACATGTAATAATGACCATAACAAAAACCAACTAAAACTATGCTGAGGGGTTGTAGAAAATCATTTACTAATTCTGGAGATGTAGATTTGCTGGTAGCATATACATGTAATACACAGTCTAACTCACGGGTACATATCAGACAGAGCCATTGTTTTATATAAAAGCGTTGCCTTAGCAAGCATTGATGCATCTCTCTGGCACAATGTCACAGTTTGCTTAAATGAAGTTCTGATGTTTGGTTGTCATGTACAAATGTATAAATAATATCATTATACAGTTAGTGCATCCAGGATGTGTCCTGCTGTGGTTAAAAAAAAATGTTGCATGGTTCAGAAACTCTCAGGGGCCGGGAATGAATTTTAAGTGAAATCTGTATTGAAGGTTTTTAAAAAAGAAAAGAAACTTTAGACACCTGATTTTGACTACATATACAGTCAAACTTGTCTAGTGACCGCTCTGTGAACAGTTGGCCACTATAGATAGGATAATCAAAGCTTGAGACAATGGAAACAATAAGGTAAGGGGCCATCAAAAAGTAATGGTGACTAATACAGGTTTGACTGTATATCAAACAGTTTCTGTTCCTAACATGACACTAAGTTTAACATGTCATGACCACAGCTTGACACGGCATGCCCAAAGCAACAGGCCACTCTCTAGCTACATGTAAGCACTAGTTCAGTCAAAGCACAGAGCACATGACAAGAGAAACTCCAGTACCTTTCCCATGACCAGAGTATGGAGCTACAAAAACAAGACGCGAGAAACCATGCGTTAGAAAGGGTTACCTTCAACACGTCTGACACTTATTAGAACGTCCGTCATGTGACCATCAACCAATCAAGGCACAGTCAAAGGCTACGAACTGTACACGCGAGCTGTTATTGGTTGATCATCATGTGACTATCAACCAAACAAGGCTGTCACTGGTTGATGGTCATGTGACCATCAACCAATCAAGGCACAGTCAAAGGCTAGAAACTGTACATGTGAGCTGTTATTGGTTTATCGTCATGTGACCATCAACAAATTATGGCACAGGCACAGTTAACAGCTACACACTCAGGTACATGCAAGCTGTTATTGGTTGATTGTCATGTGACCATCAACCAATCAAGGCACAGTCAACAGCTACAAACTCGAGTACATGCGAGCTGTTATTGGTTGATAGTCATGTGACTTTTGGCCAATGAAGGCATTATTGTTAGAATGAAGGCATTATTTAAAAGCCTAGGTACATGTGGAAACAAAATGTACATATTACCAAGAGAAAATATTTTGACTCAATTTTCAATTGGTCCCTAGTATAATAGAGTTAGAACCATGTTGCCCCCCTATCTTTTGGTAAGGTTGTCACAAAAATTGTGTTTTCTGTGGCCATATTTGTGTCAGACATATTGAATATCATGATACTGATGACATGACAAGCAACCACATTCTACATAACGTACACAAATACTGGTTTGGTGATGTTTACAGAGAAAATGTCCACTAGTAAAGGTAACAGGATGTAGAGTAGACCCAAAGGTTATGAGTCTATTATATAATAATAAATATGTTTGAATGCAGGCTATAGATGCAAGCAAAAACTGGCATGCTATAGCTAGGCTTAATGCTGATGCAATGGGCAAAAAAGCAGGATTGAACGAAGACAAACTTTGACTTTTAACATACATGTAATACCTAGACTAAACAACTACAAAATAGCAACATTCAGTGCTACAATGCAAGTTTCCTAAGCAAAATAAATCACCACCATCAAATAAAGGAAGAGAATTGGAAAGATCACCAAATAAAAGAATCTATGCATAAAGTATCAGCTACAGTACAGCACAGTTGAGTATCCAGAGTGTTGTATGCAGAACCAGGCTTTATTCTGCACCAAGCTCAGGCACGGCTCTGGATACCCCGCATGTATCCAGAACAGTGCCTGATCCTAACTCTAACCCATTCAGGCACAGAACTAGCACGGTTCTGGATACAACAAGATGCAAGTGAGGCAAAATTGTGACTCAAGAAGATCTAGAAGAACCAGAGGTCCCAACCTCGTGCCAGGATCTGGCCAGCTCCCGGTAAATTCCGGCCGGCGTGAGCGGCGTAAAGACGCCCAGTTGGCGCCCGTGAGAAGCCCCGCGATGTTCATCCTACATGTGGAGCCACGGGAGAGGGGTGGGAGGGGGGCAGCAGGGTGCAGGAGAACAGCAACAGGTACAAGGTTTTAGGCTGACATCTTGGCACAAAGGTACTTTATTTTTGATTTACAAATTCGCATACAAATCATTGACTTTTTTGAGTTAGAAATTCACAGCAAAAGTTAACTTTGAAGTACAGCCATGTGTTAGAGTCATCAAAAGATCGAACTTTTGTATCAAATTAATTTTGGTTAGGCATCACACACACATTTATGGAACTCCAAGCAACTTTGAGAGATGTCAGTTTGTAGCTAAGTAACACCACTGCAAAATCACTGCACACAGAGCCCAGTATTTTACACAAAGTCACTCTGAGTCTATGTTCTTGCAGAGCCAATAAGGATAAGTAATTTATTTGCAGGCAAGAAAAAGACAGGACTTGCGCAAGGCAGTGTCTGCAAAGTGGCAAGGAAAGAAGGCCTGTAGCTTGCTGTTACTGTTGTACTTTGTACTGTTGTAAGATTGTACTATGGTTGATGATCCGGCATGCAGTAGGTCCACACAAGGTACTTGATTCAGTGTTAATAATTTCTTGGCCACAATGTTCTAGAAACTAAAACACTGATCAAGCGAGATTTCAGGAGGAAGCTGACAGAAAAATGGAAGCCTGAAACATGCATTAAGTTACTGGAGAAAAAGGGGGACCAAAAACCTATGTCAGTAGCTGAAAAACCTCACATCAAAAAACCAATATTATCACTGCACCACAGTCACATCTCCAAGCAGATCTTTGGATGCAAAATTGCGATGGTTTCTGACTAGGATCATCTACTCAGTCAACGGGTGATTGGAACTTGGAACCTAGTCATCAAACTGTTATGATTTCACTTCCAAAATCTGCTTGGAGACTAATTACTACCCTTTTTACCAAACCTATTTTTGCGGAGCGGACGAATAACGAAACAGATCTGCCGCCGTTCTATGTGCCCGTGAAGCTGGTTGGTTACGCCAAAGGGTGGCTATACCAGCTTTGCCGATACAGGTACAGATAGATACAGAGACTCCGCAGCTGAAATAGGTTTGGTAACCAGACTAAGACTACACACCATCAGCGCTAAAAATGCACCCACCGTTTTCTGCTGAATTGGTACTGGTAGTGTCGGCGAGCGTGACGGGTCCCTCTCCCCTCTCCGTCTTCCCGCGCTGGAGGACTCGCGTTTGGCGTGTGCTTTCTCACCCTTCTTAGGAGACTTGGGCGACTTGGGTGAGGTTTTACCATTGTTGTTAGCTCCTTCCTCCTTCTGAAAGAAATTAATACGCACTTTAACAGTCTTGACACTATTATCAAATTACAGTGCATCTAACTGATATTTTTAGAAGTATGTACCAGGAAGACTTGAGCATGGTATTGATGGAAAATAATGTCACCTGCTTATTTTTTTTTTTTTTCTATTCTGTTCAACAGCATTTTTGTACCATTCTTTTTGGAATTTTTTTCTACTTTCACAAAAATTACCCCTAAAATCATTCCAAGTCTGTTCCTTGTTCATTTCTGTACAGCTGTATCAAGCATGACTTCTGATTTGTCAAGATGAGTTTCGAATTCAACAAAATCACAAAAATAACTCTTTGGGGTTGAAGTAAATGGGAGGGAAGCTTAAGTGCTACAATTCAAAACCTTAACTCAAATAAAACTTTCTAGTTTAAGTAAATAACTTACAGTTGGGTCGAGTGGAATGGGTCTGAATCCGGGACCGACCACAAAGTTGTCCTCCTCGTTGAAACACTTTGCACCAGGACTGAAGTGGAGCTCCACATGGAACCGCGTTTCTGACTCTGGCTCCTGGTACAGGGAAAAAAAAAACACTGTCAAATCCCTACATTTTATGAAGATGCACAAAGTTTAATGGTAGTGTTAAAGCTAGCCTATTGAAGCTGAGACTATTTATTGTTTATTATTGGCAGAAGTTTATGTGAGTGTAAATGAGAGTGTATGACATATCAAAGCCTATGAGCTCTATACTGTCTTCTTTAATTTTTTGCAATACAGTCAAACATGGATCATTTAAGGCCTCTGAAGAAAATAATTACAGGAGATGGGGGGTCACATAATAGACAGATTCTTTGAAAGCTTAAGATACTGAGCAAATAATCTAAGGGACCAGAACACTCAGGTGGTCCTCATGCAAAGGAGGTCATTAGTACAGGTTTGACAGCAAGCACATACAACATGCTGAACTTACAGCCTTGGGATCCTCGTACAACATGATGACAATCTGAGTCATGTAGTTCAGCTCCGTGACAGCACTCATGTACTCAAGCGCACGCTTCCACTGTTCATCTGAGTCCTGGCAGGGCAGGGGAAAAAGACATGTAAGAATCATCTTCATTATTATTTCAGGGTGATATCACTACAAAATTGGAAAAACCCATCCCTTGGCTAACTCCAGTTTTTTCTTGGTCTCGCAGGTCTGACCATATTTCAAGTAAAAACATTTTGTAACCAACAAAAAAATTGTATTGCACAGGGGCTAACTTCATAGAAGAAATGATTCTTAATTCTTTATTCCCTGATGAAAATATATCTTGTGCTTTTATCAATGTTTGTAATTTTCTTGTTTAGAATTTAACATAAAAAAGATATCTTTTCATCTCTAGACACTAGAAGAAAGGAGGACAGGACTCGAAATACTGATTGGCTACCTGGGAAGATATAACATACAATTTTTGTCTAAGAATAACAGTATGGATTCCTACTTACCAAACACAGACCTCCGTATCTGAGTATAGACAGTAGGGAGTGGATGTGGCTCTCCGAGGTGAAGTAGAGGCGAGTGCGCACGTGTCGGTCGGGTGACAAGATCCCGCGGGAGTACTTGGGGTTGAGTCTGTTCACCGTGTCGTCCTCTTGTGTCCGGTGAAGGTCTGCGCGGATTTTCTTGAGAAGCGGGGTGCAGATGGCCTGGGCGATCTCCAGTTTCTCCTGCTGCATGATACCATACTCCTGGGGACAGGAAACAAACATGTACAGACAAGAAATATAGCTTCATCAGGTTGGTACATGTAGGTTTTAGATAGTCTTAGATAAAAGAAAATATATCTTAGCTGAACAATGTTTTGTTAGCCCCAACTATACATGTTCCTCAAGGTGTGAATAGATCTACTACTGACCTTTAATCTCATCTAAATAAAAGATGAGACTCAAGTCACATTTGGGATTGCATACTTGCCACACCACCATGTTATAACGAATCCATTCAGGTCTACAGGAAGATAGCTGAGGAGTTTTAGATTGTCATATGAAACCTTATTTTCCAAACGAACACATAATGTAAATGAGATAATGTTCCACTGCATTTTTCCTTTCCTTACAACCACTACCCACCTGCGGAATAATGACATCAGCCAGGCTCTTGGACAGGGTGTACAGTTCCATCATGTGGTCAAAGTTGAGTCCAGAGTTGTGCATGACGTCGTACTTGATACAGTCATACACATCACACAAACAAACAAACAAACAGAACATACCTGTGGAATAATGACATCAGCCAGACTCTTGGACAGGGTGTACAGTTCCATCATGTGGTCGAAGTTGAGTCCAGAGTTGTGCATGACGTCATACTTGATACAGTCATACACATCACACAAACAAACAAACAAACAAACAAACAGAACATACCTGTGGAATAATGACATCAGCCAGACTCTTGGACAGTGTGTACAGTTCCATCATGTGGTCAAAGTTGAGTCCAGAGTTGTGCATGACGTCATACTTGATACAGTCATACACATCACACAAACAAACAAACAGAACATACCTGTGGAATAATGACATCAGCCAGGCTCTTGGACAGGGTGTACAGTTCCATCATGTGGTCGAAGTTGAGTCCAGAGTTGTGCATGACGTCGTACTTGATGCAGTCGTAGACGTCGGGGATCTTACTGATGTCAAACTGCCCACTCTTCAGTTTGAAGTCCTTCTCTAGTTTTGCCCAGCGCCGGTGCATCAGCTCCAGTGTCTCACTGTGGTACAGGATAATGTCTGGGAAAGAATATATCAATATTATCATTATCATTATTACTGGGTGGGCTGGCTACCCTCTCTCTTCACAGCCAAGGGCTGAATTGTGAGGAGCTTAAAATTATTGGGGCTTAATTGCAAGGTTCTGGAGTGGCTGCCATTCGGCGCTAAATCAGGTGACCTCAATACCACCCCAGGTACAGCCATAGGACTGTAAAAATTTGGCTTAAATTCTTACACATTAAAAATCTCCCTTACTCCACTTTGTTTCACTGGATACTGTAAGAATATTAGACACTTAGCAGGAAGGGTGAAGAGGCCATTTACATCAGGGCCCATCACCCTTCACTCAACTGCAACGGGGGCCGACACCATCTACCAGATACCTTTGAATCGCTTGACCCAGTGTTGACGTCACACTTCAAAGAAGCCATGTGACAAGCCTCACTGGGTAAGTCTACTGAGGAAGACCTGAGTGACTGGTCACAGATGAGAGAACTTTATTGTGTTGGATCAAACTTTAAACATGTAACTACCAACACAGATGAACTTTCATGATCTCCCTTACTCTTGTACTTGGTGTCCTCCATGCGTTGCCTGATCTGCGTGGTTAGAGACTGCACCAGCGCGTAGACCTGCTGACACATGATGACCGGGTTCTTTATCATGCTGATGGAGTTCACAAGGGACGTGCTCTTGGTCGGGGCAAGCTGTAATGGACAAATAAAGAGATTACATCAGATGTGCAAGAGACTGTATGAGAATTAAATGATGGTTCACTCTATAATTTTATATTATGACATGCATGTATGTTTGGAACTGCAGTTTTGATATTGCATGTATTGATGTATAGAATCCTTGTAATGATGTATATAGACGCTGTGTGTTGGTATTGTTGCTACTAACTGTTAGTTTATGTTTGATATATTCCCTGTGTGTCGTATGTGTGTACATGTAAGAATAATTTTAGGCCCTCAATACTCATGTTATGATGAAGCCCTTTCCCATTTTGGCCTCTGTACCTTGAAAACTAGACGAGAATCGCTAAGCCTTAAATTTGCCAAATCTCTGTTGAATTCGCCGACGTTTAAAAACTGGTTGCCCCCGCTACGGAAAGATGTTCACAACAGAAATTTAAAGGGCAATAATCAGCTCTGTATTCCGATGGCAAGATCCAACAGATATAAAAACAGCCCCATTCCATACTTCACTGCACTTCTGAACAACGTCAGGTAACCTATCAGTGTGTGGTAATTTTTATTATGATTATTGTCTAATTATTTTAATTATTTTGCAATGTATAGTAGTTTCTATAGATTTTATTAAGTGTTTTATTCATTTCTTGTAACTGCCTAATATGCATAATTCAGTGACTTGTACTATGTACAAGTCGCTGCAATGTATTTTAGTGTATTGCTTTCAATTGAAACAATAAACCAATTATAATAATGTCAGAATGGACAACAGGAAGAATAGCTAAAGTTTGTATGCTAATTGTGGAGTCAAAGTCAAAGTCAAAGTAGTGACACCTAGTGTTACCCCGAAGAAGGTGATGAAACACTGGATGTAAAACTGCACTGGAAGTTGAATAAAGAACCTTCTTATACAGAGATGAGTGTAGTACAGCAACTTGAAATCATGGACTAATTTTGCCTTACCTTGGGGATTGTCTCAGTGTCAAAGTTCCTGTTCTCCCGCATAATTTCATGTAGTCGGGACTTCACCCTGTGTCAAGGAAATTATCATAACCTTTATAGTGTTTTATAATCTTTGCGGCAATTACAGTATATGAAGTCTTCATAGGTTCATCCATTTTTAACAATGCATTTCTTAGTATGTTTACCTTGAGTTCACAGACTGAAGGAAAAAAAAAATGTTTCTTCCGCTTCTTCTCCAAACAAATAAAGTCAATGACCTGGACCAGACAATCTGTCACCATGGTAACTAGCACTGTAGCAGACAGTCTGTGGTGTTGGGTTACATTTTGTAGCAGGACAGAGCTAGAGTGACTGCTGACCATATATCATAATTCATGTATGAATATGTTTCAGAGGAACAATAAACAGAGCAGTAATTTGTTAGGCTAGACCAATTGTGAAGGTAAACATTTTATTGTGCATTTTTAGATTCAATCTTCATCTAATAAAACATCTGACCTGCACTGGTGATAGTTGATGAACTCGCTGTCATTGTCCAGCAGCCCGTTCATGTTGGCACTCTTCACCATCTGTACAAGGATCGGAGTCAACTCTCCCTCCAGGGCCAGCAGACCCTGGGGACAAGAACACACTGTAAACACTGGGAACAAGAACAAGTTATAGAGAGCCTTTGAATACTGGGAACAAGACAAAGCTATACAATATAGTCACACTTCAAAACACTGGTAACACAGTCACAACTGCTACAAAGTAAATAAGACGTGCCTGAATTGTTAGAAATGTCTGGTACATATGGGACAAGTGAGTCAAACTTCAAAAGAATCAAATTGACGAGGCCTTGTTATATTCAGAACCATGCCTTATCCAGACCCATGCGCAGGAACATTTTTGGATATCCCACTTGTATCCAGAACCGTGCCTAGGGCAAATGATTTAATCAATGTTGAACTTCTTGGATATGCAGAGACTATCCAGAACCGTGCCTGATCCTAACCCTAACCCATTTAGGCATAGAACTGGAAAGGCACGGTTCTGTATACAATAGGTCTTAGACCCTGATGGTCTGAAGGGAAGTCTGTGTTAGTGGTGCCATAAATGGGAAGATGGGGAGACCAGTTGAGTACCATGGACCTCGATGTAGCCTCAGCCTAGCAAAGGGCACAAGACAGAATTGGCTGGAAGACAAATTGGTGAGGTGCTACGCTCCCTGGAGCATGCGGCATTGAGTGAGTGAGAGTATGTCACAAACCTTGGCAAAAGCAGCAGCAGTCATCTGTCTAAAGAGACTCTGATCGAAATGTCTTGCATTAGAGATGCAAATTCTAACAAATGCCAATTCTAACAGTCTCTAACAGTCTCACAGCTTTACACTAACATACATGTTGGTACAAACCTTGGCAAAAGCAGCAGCAGTCATCTGCACCCGTCCCTCGTCTGAGGCATAGATCTTGAGGTCATGTCTGTAGGTGCTGTGCAGACGCAGGAGACCGCACCCAGGGAAACCTGCATAGTCACCTGGGAACAGAAGCTAACAGATCAGCACAGTGGACCCAACATCCTTCTTGCACATAAGGATATGGTTACAAAAAATGACCAGAATAGAGGGAAGATACAAACTTAGTCATGCATTTTCACCTGTGACATGCTGAAACAGATTTGATTTGTGTATTCATAGCATTTGCTGTGCCCAAAAACCACAGGACAGAGGCAAATGGTGGGCTGCCAACAAGCCCCAGCATCATTGTGCAAGCATGTCTAACCCTCGGGAACAACAGATGATAAACTGGATAGAGATTCTATACTAACATTATAAGGGGGTGTCACCTGCGATCGACCTAGCACATTAACATGTCAGTCCTACTTTTGATCAATACCTTAGCACAATTAAAATTACATCTAGTATCCATCTATCCTCACCCTGTCCTCCGGGGTACATGCACCTGAAGGCCCTGCCCAGCTCCTCAGCCTGGACCCTTCCCGCTGGGGTCAGCTCTCCTCCCCACTTCAGGATCAGCAGGATGGACGGCTCCGTGGAGGGTTCTGGAAGGGACAGGAAACATTTTGGTCAATCTGGAAGTCTCGTGTTGTTGTATCCAGAACCATGATTTCTCCAGACTGCTCTGGATAATTCATGTGTATCCAGAACGGTGCTCAATCCAGAACTATGCTCAGGCATGGTTCTGGAGAGTTCATGTGTATCCAGAATTGCGACTTATCCAGAACTGTGCTTTATCCAGAGCCGTGCTCAAGCAAGGTTCTGTACAGTCCATGTGTATTCAGAACCATGATTTTTCCAAACAATGCTCAGGCACAATTCTGGATAGTTCCATTTGTATCCAGAACCGTGCTTAATCGAAAACTAATATGCTCAGGTATGGTTCTGGAGAGTTCGTGTGTATCCAGAATTGCGATTTATCCAGAACTGTGCTTTATCCAGAGCCATGCTCAGGCACAGTTCTGGATAGCCCACACATATCCTGAACCATGCTTTATCCTGAACTACTAAAGTATGCTCAGGAACGGCTCTGGAGAGTTTGTGTGTATCCAGAACTGTGATTTATCCAGAACCATGCTTAGGCACAGTTCTGGATTGTCCAGGCATATCCAGAACCATGCCTGGGGCAAAACTAGGTTCTTGGATACACTGGGACTATCCAGAACCCTAACACATTCAGGCACAGAACTAGATTGGCACGGTTCTGGATATGATACCATGTCTCTAAACTGTTCCTCCAGCAGAATTACCAGAAAGAGGAACTGGTATAGCCTAACACAGCATTTATACACTGCAAATAAGGTAGGGTGCATACAGTCATCTACAGCTTAAAAGGTACACAGATGTGTTTGAAGGATAGAATGGGGGTCTGAGGGTAAAATTAGATCTTAATTCTTATTCGAACCCCACATCACAGAAATCATCCAATTTAAAATGAAGGCATGGATAAGCTGGGTTAGTGGAAAAATCACCTGTGGAGAGAAAATGAAATGAAAAGCAAAATTAAGAAGACTACAAACTACTGTGTTTACACCAAGGTAAAACTGCTGCTTTTCCAATTGTAAGCTACATGTATGCCGTAAAATATGAAAAAGTTACGTCGGTGAAAGTTAGACATCCAGGTAATACAATACGCCAAAAACAGTTGCTCAAGCAACTAAATATGATTTTGGAAAAGGAAAATGAAAAACAGTTACAGGTTGTAATTTATTTCTTTCAGGACACCAATGTAGCTACTTGGCTACCAGTTCTTTATTAGTTAAAGGGTTAAACAGCAAGGAGAAGGCTTGAATTAGATGGTGGCAGTAGCAGCCCTTGGTTAAAACTTGCCAAAGCAGCAGCGTAGCATTAACACAGCAAGGTCAAAGAGACAAGGTCTGACCTAACGCTCCCTGCTTCTCTGCCTCCTGACCTGTATGTAAACATACATGTGAGACCATGTTAGGGGACAACCCGTGCACTTACATGTAGGCCTAGGAAAAAAATGTTGTGTTTCCTGTTTCAGTCCTGAAAAAATTAGGGTTGGTAGGTTGGGATTATCTTATTTATTATTTTTTCTTTTTTAATTAGACTGTGGCAATCTCTAGTGATTCAACTTATACAGCACAGGTTAACTTAGTAGAACGTGAATGAGGACACTTATTTTTTTTTATGTCAATGTTGAAAAATGATTGTACAACATTTCATCACTCAGGTGTCAGATCATGGAGCTAGAAAAGGCTGATCAGCTCAAAAATTATGTCCCTTGCAGGGGTCCACACACAAAAAAAGTCTAGGGTCGGCAGTTTTTTGTAGGGTCAGTCAGGAAACATAATTTTTTTTCGTAGGCCTTACTGTCAACATACATGTGAGGCCATGTTAGGGGACAACCTGTGCTCTTACTGTAACATACATGCATGTGAGAACATGTATGTGTGTACTGTACGGTGCGCTGCATAATGGTGTTGTTAGACTGGGCAAGCTGCTAGTTACATTGGCAGGTTGTCACAATAAAAAAATCACTGTATACATTCAAAAAGTACGTATAACAGTGACTAACTAGACATGAATTCGTTGACCAAACATCCAACGAAAAGCAAGAAAAATCTGGTTTCCCCACAAAGCAGACTACGTTCTGTCAAAGTGCTGTGCCCTCAGGAAGGTAGCTGATACACCACCAAAAGCTACATTGTAGCAGGTAAGGCCACGCCAATTTAATTTCTTGGTTAACGGATTCGCCCGCTTCATTTTTTTGCAAATAAAAATAAAAGTTCATAATCAACTGCAAAATGGTCATATTTTGCCCTGAATGGTCCTTTCATCCTAGTTGTTACAGTTATTCCATCTTTCAATGCAATGGTATCATTAAACGTTCAAAATTCAGTGTTTAAATTTTGGGCCAGCCTGGTGTGTTGACTTCATGGCTCCTATCGTACCATTTTGGGCCATAATAGGATGACAAGGCCTGTTTTTATTTTTTTTCGCCCGCCCGCTCCATTATTTTTGTAGAAAAATCTGTTAACCAAGAAATCAAATTGGTGTGGCCTAAGAATAACTTTGTTGTATCCGAGACCCCCCCAAAAACACAATAACTCCACCACCAGACTTACCACCATCCTCACTACTGGACTGTTTCTTGAACCCCTGTGGCTGGTACTTTAGCTGGACCTTACGGTTGATACCAGAGAAGTGTCCGTACCTACACAACACAGTATATAACAGTCAAAGTTTATGTGCAACAAAGAATGCTTACCTTCAAGTATCTGCTGGCCAGAGATATATGTACAGTTAAAGACTGGAGGAACGAATGGATGCGTTGGTGAATGTTAGACATTCACCAACGCTGACATTTAACATACGCCAAATTACAGTTATTAAAGCAACTGGATATGATTTTGGAAACAGTCAGACATTTCAGGTAGCATCCACTACCTTTCGTCAGTGACAATGGAGAGTTGTTAACACTGGAGACTTGACAACTCTCCAGAGTCAATGACAAAAGGATGCTACCTAAAACGTCTGATTGTTTCCAAAATCATCCAGTTGCTTGAGTAACTGCTTTTTGGCGAATGAACTGGATGTTTTAGACTCACTACATGTAGAAGTTCTAGTGTCTCTCATGTTGTTTGTTTGGTTTTTGTTTCTGTGTTAAGTTTTTTCTGTTTATTGTAGTTACCTTTGTGTAAGAAGGCTTTGTTTTTGGTGTGTCTATGTAATGTGTTTGCTCATGTTTTCATAGTTGTCACGTACTTGTAGATGTATCTCTGGCCAGTTTCTTTCCCTTTAGTGGCTGCTACAAGTGTTTCTTGGGTTAAGAACATCACCCAACATCCATCATTTAGGGACAGAGGAATAAATAACAGCTTTGAAAGTTTGAGAAAAATCATTAGAGTTTGAAACTTTTTTATAAAACAGTTGTGCATCTTGAGGGCTCATAGCAGTCACTTCTGGGGGCAATGTGACACACAAAATACACTTTTAATTAGCATTCACGCAAACACTTTCTATGTTGCACTATTTCACTATTCCACAGGCCAAACGCTATTTGCTCCCTTCCGAAAGGAGGGTTTCTTTACAAAAATAAGCATGATGCAGGCACAACCAGCAACACAATGAATCAGGTGCATACAGTCAACCAACTCCGGTTCATTCAAATCTACTAGTTTTGATCAATGCAACTTCAAACATACATACAGCAAAGTCAGGCGCAGAAAGGTTCAAGGCAAGAGGTGGAAACTTCAACTTGTCTCATCACAACCAAATTCAAACGACTACCGGTAGAAAGACAATGAAGCACTTTTCTGGCGGCATGACTCTATATACCAGAAACAGAACGATCAGCAATACGACAGTACCTAATGAGAAACCGTTCGACTGTTTTGGGGTACCTGCGCCTGCTTAACAAGAGGGATACAAGACAGTCGTGAAAGAGTCAGTTATTCCAGGTTTGTAGTAACAACGATCTTCTGTAGTTTTTCTTAGTTTTCAGCAAATTTGGGAGCCAAAAAAGACCGGAAGCAACAAATTGTTGACTTCTTTCTTTCCTTGTTTCTGTAGTTTCGTGTTATCTGATTCTGAAACAGGTAGTTTTACTCAGGCATACGTCATGGCCAAACAAGAATACAATATACATCTTAGTGCACACACTCCAAGTATGTTCACTTAAATGTATTCTTTCCAGCCCTGTTTCAGTGTTTTTTGACAGGCCTGTTTCATTGTCTTTTTACAGGCCTGTTTCAGTGTTTTTTTACAGGCCTGTTTCAGTGTTTTTTTGCAGGCCTGTTTCAGTGTTTTTTCTGACAGGCCAACAAAAACAGGCTATTTTAGGTCTGCCCCTGAGGCATCGCCAAAAATTCTAGGATTTTGATGTAATTTTTGTTCATCATTAATCAGTTTTTGCTCATCGTTAACCAGTTTTTTGTTCGTCATTAACCAGTTTTTGCTCATCGTTTAATAGTTTTGTTCATCGTTAATTGTACAAACCTTAGAACTGCACAAGAGAAATGCAGATGAGATAGACGACAGTGAGTGAGACTAAGGTTTGCCATGCAGAAAGGTGTTGAAAGTTTGGAACGTTGGGAGGCAAACCTGGCTTGTTCCGGGAATAATACTGAATTCATCATTTTCTCTGACGGGCCCCTTCCAGAGTAAAAAACAAGGGAAACAAGGACAGAAAGCCAAGAAGACTGTTATAAGTGAAAAGCCAAGAAAAGGGAAGGTTGAGAGGACACAGGGTGATGCCGACAAGGCAGACAAGACTTGGAAGTTTGGGGACAAGAAAGGTTGGGAATTTAAATTACAGTTCATCTATGACGGTTATTGGCATTACAAACTTTAAAATCTAATATGTATACATACGAGGACTGATCAAAAAATCTAATATGTATACACTGGAGGACTGATCAAAAGCTTGTTGAACAGGTTTTTGTAACATTGTAGGTAAAAAAAAAATGTCTGTGTTCAAAAGATCTTTACCGACAAAAGACAGCTTTACAGCATCCAATATCAAAACTTCACAAATAAAAAAAATTTAATTCAAAATTTGTAAGACCCTGATGTACTCAACAAAACACCGTCTTTAGACGAAAAACTGGAGTGAAAAGATGTTATGAATAATGACTGTACCAATAAAGAATGTAGCCTGAAAGAATGACAAATTTTGTGCTGTGACCCTTCTGCCTGCTCTTGGCTTCAATTCAAAATGTTTTTATGAGTCTCTGAATCACTCAAACAATGTAAAAGTAACATCTGCCTATTTTTCTGTGAAAAAAAAAAATCAAGTTGTCTGTATCCCTCTGCGAAAAAACAGCAGATTTAAGCAACAACATAGCATAAGAGATGGATGCAGGATGAAACTCAGGCTGCAATTTTGGTAAACATTGCCAGAGGGCACTATTTTGCATGTTTTTGGTTTGCTCCCCACAAGCTGGTTGTCCACTACCCTCTACCAGGCTTCGGGAGGCGGCTGGAAAGAGTAGACATCGGCCAAATAGAGAGATAACATGCTGAAGGAGCTGGTCTGCTCGGGAGCAGCAAACTGTACTCTAGAGCAGACCAACTCCCTTGGCTATTTTCTCTCCATTTGGCCGATTTCTACTCTTTCCAGCCGCCTCCCGAAGCCTGGTAGAGGCTAGTTAGCTGGTTGTCCACTATGACCACACCTTGCTGCCGCGGCATACTTGTTATCACTGAGGAAGTAACTAGAGGATGTAGAGACAGACATGAGATAGTCACACCACAGAACGCACTAACAGAGGATTAATGGTACATAAAGCACAGGGAACTCTCCAGCTTTTTATCCGTTAGGCTTTTAATCCATTACATTTTGTAAAACTGCATTTATATCACCCTTGATTTTATAACTGGAATTTGATGCAAAATGTTTGACTTTGAGTATGATTTAAAATACATCAAAACACATAAAAGATGGAAAATGTGCTCTTTATGTATGAAGTTCGTTAAGCAAAAAAATTATTAGTCGAATTTCTTGTTGAATTTCATGTCAGTTGTACAGCAAATCCTGGCCACACTAGGATTGCGTAACTACTACAAATAAGTAAAATTTAAAAAGCTCTTATGGTCATTGCCCATACCTGGAGAAATCCCTGCATATGAATGAAACACGATAGTAAGAAAGGTAAAGATTCTTCAACTTAAATCTTGAGAAAAGAAAGGTACATGTAAAGTGGATATGTACAACATGTAGCGAGGCTGAAATGAATTATTGCAAAGAAATCATAACATCAACATATAGGCAGGCAACTTTTAAATGAATAAGCTGTTGACTATATAAATTATCCACATCCTTTATTATCAATTAAAATATTTTCACATCAGAAAGTTTTAACATTAGCTTCCTCAGGAAATGAATAATTTTGTGATTTTTTAAACTGCAACTTCCTCCAACCAAAGCATCTTCAAAATCAGGCTGATTTACTTCAGCATAAATACTTACATTTCTAGTACACTCTTCAGTTGTTCAAGTTTGGACTTCTTTTCCTCGATTTCTGGGTCAGATGTTGAGTTTTCTATCTCATGTAGCAAATAGCGAGCCACATCCAGAATTTCCTGGAGAAAAAAGTGAACAATAATCAATTTAAACAATGCAGCTACATACCTAGTAATAGTGTTTTGCTTAATTCTATAAGTAAGCTAATTATGATATTGAAAGAAAACTCTGAATATCAACATACTTAAGTCTTCATTCTTTGCAGAAAACAAGGATAAATTCCCCACCTGTAGCTGTTGGGGACGCTTCAGCTTGAGTTTTCCCTTTTTAAAACCTCCATACTTCCGAAAGACTTCGAAAAATCTGCAAGGAAGCAAGAAATTTAACATAAATCATTCCCTGGATGTCTCGCCTTTCCGAGGTGTCCACTAGTGTTTTATTTTGTACAGCAGATGTTAAAATCAAGACCTGTGCCTGAGTTATTTTACAGATACAAGTTTGAGGTACATTTGTAAATAGCCCTACAGATTCTGAAGAAAAGTACATGTACAATGTATAAAAGAAGTAAGAGCTCTTGAACTGCTCACGTACTTTGGATGTCTGACTTCCATCTTCATCTTCTGTTTTGGCGTGCGATCTCCATGTCGTATCACCCCGATCACACACCGCAGCTCCATCCTGTAATATCAGGTCACTCGTCAATAATCAACACTTAATAGTTATTGATAAAGAATCAAAGAAAAAACAGTAGAGAAAGAACAAAATCTTCATTCAAAACATTGATAAATAGTGTGCTCAAAATTTCTTTTCCTATGCGCAAAGCGATATGCCTATGCCTGTGAGGTGTAGCAAACAATGAATTCCCTAAGGAAAGGCTAGGTGCAATTTTTTTAATATTTCAAAAGACGCTGTAATACTATGACTTTGTGGGAAATGCTGAAAATCAGAGAGTCCATGAGGTGTGGGGTCGTGTGGCATAACGGCAGAGTGCTCGATTCAGAACCAAGAGGTCCCAGGTACGATTCCTGATCTTGTGCCCTTGGGAAAGGCACTTTACATGACTTCCCTCCCCTCAAATGAGTAATGTCCTGTCCTGTATTCGTTTCTATGTGCCTGACACAACACCAGCAACAGCTGCCTGTGTCCCACGTGTATTGTATTGTTACAATTTCAATAAACCAAATCAAATCAGGCTACTTACATGGTTCCACTGGTGGTTGGTACAATGGGGATATCCTCCTCCTCCAGGGGTACAGACCAGGGGATGGACAGTCTCGGGGCCAGCGCTTTCATTATCATGTTCCTGACAGGGAGATTAAGCAAAGAATTAAGAAAGGTTATGAGAATTATAAAGAGGTTAGAAAAAGACATTTAAATTAAAGATAGGCTAAGAAAAAAAATAAGTACTCAATGTAAATGTAATATTAACAGTAATAACACAAATTTTCTAGCCTGGTTACCAAACCTATTGTAGCTTCTGAGTCCTACATCCTCTCTCTATTTGTGGAGAGGATGTAGGACTTGGGAGCTAAAATAGGTTTGGTAACCAGGCTATCAATTTTCAACATATATACATTGTATAGCAATATTCAGATTAAAGAAAGCAAATAGAGCTCTAGAAAGATAGCTTCCCTTGAATGCAGTCTTACTAATTTCCTTTCAATGAAAAACAAATCTTTGGAAAAAAGGTGTTGATATAAAATTTTTCTCACCCTAAAATCTTGGCACAGTCGTCGTAGTACTTCATGGAATTCTTCACGAAGCTGAATCCGTTCACATCGCACACGTAAGACTTCCCGTTGGCTCGTAACAGGTCAAACCCACACACAGTTTGCTGTAAGAGAGAGAATAGTTTATTCACACACCCTTGTCATTAAAAACAGCATTTCATCATAAGGATAGCATGTTCAGCACTAAGGACAGATGCCATTACACTAGAAATAGCATCTTTAGCATTTTCACACACGTAAGACTTCCCGTTGGCTCGTAACCCACAGGTCAATCCCACACACTGTTTGCTGTAGGTAAGACAAGAGTTTGAGGAACATGAAGACAAGTCAATTACAAACTGCATTAAATCTGATCAAGGACATGTCTATTTTGATTTGTTCGTTCTCAGATGTTCCAAGAATAATGCTACACTGAAATATTACCATGAAAACAGAGTCTCAGTATGAAGATAGCGTGTTCAGCACTAGGGACAGCACCCAATACAATAGAGACAGTATTCTATGCATAAGGATAGCATTTCAGCACTAGGGACAACACCTATTCCACTAGAAATAGTATCCTATGCATGAGGACAGCATTTCAGCACTAGGGATAACAGCCATTAAACTAGAAATAGCATCTTTAGCATTTTCAGCACCAGTGACAGCACCCATCCAGTACACTAAAAACAGCATCTTTAGCATAACATCAGAAAAGCATGGTCAGCACTAGAAGAAGCACTTATGCATGAGGATAGCATGTTCAGCACTAAGGACAGTGCCCTTAGCATAGCAGAAACACACTCAGGCAAGCCAAAAACAACCACTTCACTCAAAAATGGAGGATAGCATGTTCAGAACTAGGGACAGCAGCCTTTGCACTAGAAATAGTATCTTTGTTATGTGGATAGCATGTTCAGCACTAAGGACAGCACCCTTAGCATAGCAGAAAGACACACAGGCAAGCCAAAAACAATGACTGCACACTCAAAATTGGAGCAGAGAACTCACCTGGAAGGCGAGACAGACTTTCTTTGCGATGAGTTTTTCCCGGTTGTTCAGGATGACGGGGTAGCGAACCTCCTTCCCTTCGCTGTCACGCTCGACTTTCCCGTCCAGTGCCGGTGACTTCCGCGCCTCGGCGTGGGCGTACTCTGGTCCTACAGTGTAGACCTTGACATCCGTACCTTGAATAATGTATAGAGGGTCCATTATTACCTTCGCTGAGAAGATTATGTTTTCAGTAGTGTTTGTATGTGTGTATGTGATTTAGCACGATAACTCAAGAAGCTTTGGATGGATTGTCATGAAACTTGGTAGGTGGGTAGGTCTTGATGAGACCTAGAAATGATTAGATTTTGGGGCCCCTGGTGGCTTTCCTGTGTACTGCAGCAGAACTTCCAGTTTTGATATCTCATGATCTAGGCATGCCTGGGTCATGAATTTTAGATGGTAGATAGCTCTTGTGCTCGGGAAAAAGTCACGTGAGTTTAGGTCCCCTACCTCCCCAGCATATTTGTCATTTATGATGTATTTTTGCCGTATACATGTATATGTGCAAATAAACAAATTAATTTAAAAATCCGTACCGTCTGTTGGCATGAACTCTTCGTAGATGTATGAGCCGGTCTTTCTCACACAACTCTCGGGGGAGTAGACACTGCTTCTGTTGCCAATCTGTAATCAACAAAACAGTTTAATCTTACTAAACTGGTAAAATGTGGCACATTAACCTTCTCCCTGATGCTTTACCCTAGAGAAAAATACAAATTTGGTGCCAAACAGCTACCTTAGCATGCTGAAGGTTAATTCACAGACAACAGAATTGCCACAACCTTTTGGAAGAGCCTTTTGTACATGTTATTTACCTTTACCGAAGGAAAACATTGTTTTTGCTCAGTTTCTTCCTCTTCTTCCGTTCCAAAGAAATAAGGTCAATGACCTGAAGCAGATGTTTGTCACCATGGTAACTAGTGTTGGGTTACATCATGATGCAATTTTATAGCAGGAGCGATTTAGACTCCTGTCTGACCATATGTGTTTGAGTAAGAATTAACAGAGCAGACCATATGCAAAGGTAAACATTATACATTTGCTTTGGAAATGTTACCTTTCTAGTGTTTCAAATATGTTTTAAAACATGTGACAATAAATAATAAACAAACAAACAAAAAACAACCTTTCTGAAGAGCCTCTGGCTGCCCCCTCCTGCAGAAGTGGGGTAGTAGATGTAGACGTTGTGGTCCTCAGCACTGACTGGTTTCTCTACAAATGGCTTCTGGAAAACCACATTGTCTACTTCTACCTGGTCCTCCCCTTCCACTAGTGTCGACTCTGGGGAAAAATTAATACATGTATATAGAAACATTAGTGTGTTGCTGAACTGTTGTACTTGTAGCTTTCAAGAGTAGAAGTCACATCTAATATTCCAACAGTACAAATGTACTTGCAAAGTTTTCTCTTTACTGTTACTATCAAAAGATAACACATTTTAGCAGCTTCATCCATGCTCTTGTAGTAGCTTTTCCCCAAGTCTTAATATATGGCTCAAAATACCCACTAACAACATACAATTTGTCCAGCAATAAGAATACAAGCCCATTATCATGAAATGGAAATAATGTATGTAATTTGAGCCCTGTAATAGAGAAATGCATTGAAAATAGCATATCCAGCACAAGGGACAGCATCCAAATCACTGGGGACAACCTTCTATGCGTGAGGATAATTTTGTTCCTAGTGCTGAACATGCTATCTTCATGCTCTGCTACCTTCCGTGCTGCCCATGTCCCTGTTGTAAACGGCATATCTGGGTAGCTCAATGCCCTGTTCCTGTAGGATTCTGTACACCTCTCGTCGGTCCTGTATCAGGTACTGCATGTCCAGGTTGTTCACCAGGTAGGGTTTTCTCAGCCGGGTGTACTTAACCGCCTTGTCTAGTGGGAAGCCTGTAAGTAGAGCAAATATTGTAGTATCTGGCTATATTAAAACTAATGTTACTACTTAACCTTTGGACATCTAGCTAACCCCTGTCTTTCCTTCATATGATAGAATTTTGCTCCTCATGACAGACAAAAATAATTTTGCCCTATCTGTCATCTTTGATGGACAAAAATCAGCATGTAAAGATATGGAAAGAGATGTCATTAAACTAAACTTAGTGTTACCAGCAAAGTTTGTTCCTCAAACTGGCTACAACAGTGCTTTAAAACATTGATTAAAGCTACATGTATCTAGTGCAAAGATGACCTTAACAAACTGGCTGCAAGTTCCACTCTATGTTGTTTAAAGTGATGATACCCCTACGGTACTTGGAGGCTGCGAATTCCACTGTATTCTCACTGATACAGTCACACAGGGGCCACTCTTCCCTTAGTCTTACCTTTTCTGAGCTGGTATTAGGTACTTAGTACTTGGCTTTACACCACATACAGATGATACAGAACTGTAATCTTACCTTTGGAATAAAAAGAGATGATACAGTCACACAGAGGCCACTCTTCCACAGGCTTGTTGAGGATGACGGTCTCCTCGAACACCAGAACCTTCAGGAACTTGAACTTCTCCAGCCGAGCACAGATCTCCTTCATAGGTTTGGACTGGGCCTTCTTAGCCATGGAGCAGATCCCCACGATAATGGGACGGTCTGGCTCATAGTCAGACTCCTGGGACTGGGCAGATAACAACAAAGTGGTTGGGATGAAGAGCTTGAACTACAAAGGACGCTCCTCAGGGCTTGACATACATGTAGCTGGTGTGTTATGCCGAAGGGCGGTTATACCGGCTATACAGATACAGATACATACACACTTGTAATTTGCAGAAAGACTTTCTAGACTGCTACTCGAAATACTGACAACGTGCAGCTTTTCTAGGTAACAGATTTCAAGCTAGGTATTATGAATCACAATTAAGCAAAATAAGAACATGTGTACTAAAAAGATCTTGTATCACATTCACAATTCAGCAAATCACAAATTTACATCCTGTTTGACTAAGACAGTGAGCTTATAAAAAAAAGTTATACATGTAATATCACCGATGTTTGAGTATAAAAGAAATAATAATTAGACATCATTTTTCCATACACTAACCTCGCTGTCTGACCGGCTGTATCTGGCGTCTGCCTCATCTGCATCATCATCATCTCCGATGAAAAACCCCGCCCGACTACCGTCGCTCTCATTCCCTGTACTCTCGTTCTCCTGCGAGGAGCCCTTCTCGCTGCAGGGTGTGGGCGCACCACTAGAGGGCACTGCTGTACATGCTGAAGGTCCAAAGAAGGCCATCTGAGGTCCGGACGGGGACATGGGCTGGGGTTGACCTGGGGTGGTGCTGCTGTGGTCTGGGCCATGGGGCGGCCCCGTGGGTTTACTGGCTGGGTTACCTATTGTGGAGGACCTGTAGAATGCGAGAAGTAATTCATTTTGTAACAAAATCGAGTTGAAGATTCTCACGATTGCAGCTTGGAATCTACATGTAGGTACAAAAATGTGTGTTAACTTTCCTCTTTTTTGTCTCACACACAAAGATTTTAGACCAAAAATTGCACAGAATTTCTCCTTCTCAGGCAGTTTGATAGAAGTGTTTTTCTTTCAACTGAAATTGGATTTCTTTAATTTAATTTTCTTTTGCAGCAACTTGCTACAACACAACATTGGGCAATCGAAGAAGGCCATCTGAGGGCCTGACGGGGACATGGGCTGGGGTTGACCTGGGGTGGTGCTGCTGTGGTCTGGGCCATGGGGCGGCCCCGCGGGTTTACTGGCTGGGTTACCTATTGTGGAGGACCTGGAAAATGTACAATTGATGTCATGTGGTGACAATCAAGTTGTGGTTTCTTACATTTGCAGATGAGGTTCAGCACAGCTTATTTAGGTACAAAATTTGCTTGCATGTTCCTCTATGTAGTCTCACAAACACACACACAGAATAGACTTTTTTGCACAAAATTTCTCCTTGTGAAGCAAAATGTACATGTGGTGAGATGCCTTTCTCTTTCTGACGATCTCAAGCTGTGGTTTCCAACATTTGCAGCTTGGAATCAGCGCTGCTTATGTTCAAAAATAGCTCCTTGTATCAAGCGAAGTAGTAGAAGTGTTGTTACCTCCGGGGAAGGAGACATCCTTCCGCGAGGAGGTTTTACTATTGTTCGAAACATTTCTGTCAGCAGCTGTTTCTCGCGATCGGCTGGACGGATTGGTCTGTTGTTCGGTGTACGTATTGCTATTGGGCTGCAGATGATGCAGAACGTTTTTGTTTAATTGTATATGTGTTTATGGGCGTCGAAATAAAAGGTTTTTAAGTGCTCCGGACACCCCCGCCATGCTGAAAATGGAATTTACCATGTTGTTAAGGAATGGGGAGGTTTCAGTTTTGGGTCTTACCATTTAAAAGGGGTCAAACAGAGGGGTGTCTGCTTCCGATATGTATTTTGAAATATTATCGCAGTTGTATCTCGCGTTGGGGTAGACTGGACTCGGTGTATGTTCTTCTAATGGGCTGTAGATGGTGCAGGTTTTTTTGTTTTTATTGTATATGTGTTTTGGGGCGTAAAAATCTGAAAATGATCGCGCGCGGCGCTGGGCTGGCTGCCAGCGCAACTTCCGGGTGGGACAATGGGTCAGGGGTCAACGCCCTCTTGCGCAATCTTGGATGTTTTCGGCGTATAGTACGACTTCTTAACTTACAAATACCGTGGTATACTGTCTCAGACGTTCTTGACATGCATTTTTACCGTGGGTACATGGTATGGGCTGCAGATGAAAATGTTGACCAGTCCTGTATTAACACAACCAGGAACGCTAAATCTAACACATAAAATTCAACACCATCAACTATACAGAACAAACAACATGGAAAAATATACAATAAAAAGCCCGGAGGTATAAAATCTCAGATTTTACTTGTTCTTTTTGAAATCATTCTACTTTCAACTTTGGGAAAATTTGATCAGACTTTCAAGAGGCATCATTTGGGTACAATTTTATATGGAGGATAGAAAGGGCTGGAGGAAAAGGGTACGTAATGAACATCCATCTCACTGCCAGATGATGATGATGAATTTTACAGAGGCCAAAACCTGCTGATCGATATGGATTGTCCTGGTAGGACATATATGGGGAGAGAGGACTGTTATGGAACATCGCTGGTAAGGCATGTAAAACATATTTCATCAGAAATAAGTTTTGTGATACATGGAAAACTTTACCAAATTCTTATTGCATGTAATATCAATTCTAGTTGTTCCTTTTTTTTTCTGATTTTGGGCAAAACTGTAAATGTTCATATCTTGAATGGTAAAGAAATCTGTGTTAATTAAGGCTATTACTAATGCACACAACAACAACTATTGTACTGTAATAAACTAATACACCACATCAGACCACCCTTTGCACAGCAAACCACTCCAGAGTCTAGGGTTAAACACTCCATCTGTAATTCCTAATGGTTATGAAAGACAACACCCTGTTATAACAACCAAGTCAGAAATAACCTAGTAGTTTCCTGTGGAATCTATGACTTTTCATGACCTTCTAATCAAAACAGACAGTGGAAAACCACACAGAGGCAGTCATTAGATAGTAATTATATAATAGATACAGCTATTAATAATATCATTGTGCTAGAAAACACAGTTAGGAGATAGATGAAACAGAAAAGACCAACTCATTGAAGGAGAAAAGCAACAAAAAACAGCAGAAAGAAAGCCCAACTTTTTGAAGTTATTCCACCAAGCACGCCAATACTCCTTCTGCTTTTCCATGTTTCACTGTGAGAGAGTGACGACGCTCGCATTACCATATATGCAATCTCTGATATCAACTCATCCCAGGGGCTATTTTTACCATGATGGCATCTCTCCTGGAACAAGTACATGCAATTGCATCACGATTTGTGGGTAATACACACTGGTTAAGACATGTTTGTATGTTAATAATAGCTGTACCCGTTTGCAGGTTAACTGCACTCTGTTTGGTACAGAAATATGACCCCACTCAGTCTCCATATGCAAAATGTCAGCTCTTAAAACTTAACTTTCAACCTCTCTCATATTTTATTTAGGCCGGATCTCTTTTAAATTTCATGTTAAAAACATTCTGTAGTAATAATAATAAAATAACTTACTGAATCTTAATATGACCAGAAACAAAATACTTACGTCTAGTAAAAAGGAAAGATATAAATGTGTCCGTTAAGTTGGTCAGAAACTCCCTTCTTTGCTACAGCAACTTGGCAGGTTGGGGTTAGAATGTGCCCGGCTAGGGTCTAAATTTAACTGGCTTCTAGCAGGCAGGGCTCGAAATTCATTTTTGGGAACAGGTGCACTACTGGTGCACCCAACCTGAAAAATTGGGTGCACAAAAATTTTTTGGGGGTGCACCATATAAGATAAAATTAGTATAAATTAGACTATAATGTCAAGTTTGTCAACAAAAACTAATTATGTTTCATTTTTCTGACACTTACACATGTAGATGTTAAGAATATGTTGTGTTCATACATTTAACAACTTAACATATGTTAAACCTATGAATTATTTGAGTGCATCAGTGCATCCAAAGAAAAGAATCGGGTGCACAGCTCCAATTTTGGGTGCACATGTGCCTAGTAATATTTCGAGCCCGGAGCAGGGCATACCACGATATATCATTACTTGGAGGGACTCCAAGCTTTCTAGAGGATATCAACTTTCAAAACATCCGGTCATACTAGGAGTTCGTTTCTCTGTAAATAGTTCTCGTAAACCCCCATGCTTTAGTTTGATTTTGTGCTTGTATTTTCAAAACAGATGATTGCTACAGGCAAATATATTACTAGTACTAGTATATCAGGGGTTTTTCTAGAAAAATTTTGCATGAGGGAGCAATATCACGGCGAGGGAGCGAAGCGACCGAGGGGGGGTTGGTGTGAAGCCTTTGAAAATTTGAAGTTGAAATGGGACATTTTGAGGCTACTTGAGGGGGGAAATTTGATTACTCTCAACCTCAATGCACATTTCCCAAATTTCTATTCATGCATTGCATATTTCACTTTTAAAATATAAGTACAATCAACAGTACACACAATCTGCAAATCACCCTTTATACACTTACACAATTAAGTGATCAATGTTTCTAGTAGCTCCAGATGACAACATTGGGTTTGCCACAAGCTGAAACCTTTCCCATGGCACAATTGCAACACATTCATCCAAGCTGCTACAAACTCAGGTCTCATATTTCACTTCAGAGCCTGTTCTATAGTATGCAAATGAAGGAGGTCTAGCTACATGTTTTTAAGCAAGTTTTCAATGAACATTGTTTATTCCATTCAAACTTTTACTACTAGAGCTAAATTTTCAACTTTGTTGTAAGATTTTGGAATTTTTATGAGAGTAACATAGTTTGTAATGCTAGAATGTATTGTTGTGTAGTGTTGTTTTTGTATTTTTACTGGAAAAAGATGATTTTGAAAAAGACTTATGCTTCAATCTGAAAATTGATATGAGGGCGCTGGTTTGTTACATGAGGGCGCTGCGCCCTTGTTCCCCTGTTCAGAAAAACCCCTGTATATGATGATTATCTATAATTGCATTGCCTTATAATTCTAATGAGACCTTAGACTTAGCTTCCCTTGTTATCATAGGCATCACTTACGTAATGACGTAGGAATGACGTAAATCTGTTTTTTTTCTCTTGTCCTCTAAATTCTAGTCCTTTGAAATCAGGACGATGAAGGTCAGAATACAGATGTTTACGACAAGCTATAAAAATTCTTTAGCAACAGGCTAGTTACCTAGGATACATATAGGTAACGTTATATTTCGTAGCGACGACACTAAAACATCAGCTTGAATCTATGCTCACGAAAACCAAGGCAAACTGTGTGTATATACTCCACTTTGGAACAGAAAAAGTCTACTCAAAACGTACATGTACGTTCAAAAATACCGTCTTCGTATCAAATATCGTGGTACCGGTACACAAAAACAACAGTGTAGGCGGCAAAATGATCCATACTCACATGCCCTTGACGCAGTTTTTGCCCAACAGCTGTCGCTGACTATAAAACCTTCGCTATCTATTTTCCATGCGGCAAATCGTTTGATTTTTGGAAATTCTGAGGGAAAAACACGCTTCATGTGCGTTTGACATCCGATCCCGCCATTTTTTTCAGTAGGGGAACGTACACTAATCTACATATAGTGGGTTGAAAAAAGGATTGTACGTTGCTAAAAATACAATATTATATGTCGTATAAAGAGGTCTAAAATATATGATTTTGATATATAATCTGACGTTAATATTCTTCCTTGCTACGAAGAATTTCTAATACGCAAAAAGCTGATTATACATAGTCAAAGATACTAGTAATGGATTGTCACTAAAGCATGAGATGCCCTGGACACGAGATTTGTGTCAAAGTGCAAAGTTGAAAGTTGAGTTCTCTTTACTATGTAATACAGCGTACCCTGGTGACGAGCCGAGCAGTTGTCATAGTTGATGTTTGGACGCTAGACACAGATACAGATGCACCATTTTCCCTACAAATCGTTAAATAAAGCAGCTTGAAGCCCAAATCTTGTGATAGGACAGTACACAAACATAAGGTAAGTTGTGTAAGACTGTTTTGGGTTGCTGACCATAGTCATAAATGGTGTCGTTCTTTTTTTGTGAGGAATAATCTTTTTCTCGGGGAGGGGGGCGGTTGATATTTTGTTTGTGATATTTGGCTGGTCAATTATACAAACAATATAACGTAATTTCACTGAAAAATTTTGAAAATGAAATGTAAATTTTCCTACCTGAACCTTAAACTTATGGCATCAGATATTTGAGTAAAGTTATATTGTTATTAACGGGGGGTGCCCTAATTCCGACCTATGTTCCATGCAAACGCACAGACCTTTGGTAATAGTTTATCTGACCAAAAACCCGCGCAACATGAGACATAATATTGACAGATAAAGATTACAACGATTAAAGCTGTACAGCTGTCACAGTGCACGGGGAGATCGGGTTGTCAACTGGTTGTTAACAGAAAGATATCATACATGTGTCGGGTTTTTAGTACTGATAATCCCTACATTAGAACCGACGAAAGGCCAAAAATCGGGCCGAATCAATGGAGTCCGCCCATTAGTTTCCCGGCCGTTTTCCGACACATACACGACGAACGTCGGCCACGTATCGGTTTCCCCCATAGGTCACCAGAGGTCATAATATGCGTTACATCCTGATTACCCAAATAAATGTAGCATAGGTTAGTCATATGAATTAGGCATTCGATTCAATTTTTTTTTTGCTTGTTGATTACTATTAAAATAAGCTTTGCCTAAATACAAAATACAGTCAACTGATATCGATGATAATGAAGACCATTGAAATGGACACTTTTGAAACACTTGAAAACTTTTAGCCTGATTAAAATTACGGTTGCCGGCCGCCCTGCGGGAAGGGGCCACTAAAGCTGCGGACGGCAGTGTTTGCGTTACACAGACTAGAAAACTTTAGGTTGACCAAGTTTACCGCCTTCTTCGCAGATTGGTGTGGCGGCGCCATTGTTTTTGGGGTGGGCCGCTGATCAACACGAGTATCGCCGCCCAACAAACTCCCTCCGCGGGCAAACTCCCTCCGCGGGCAAACTCCCTCCGCGGCCAAAACCCGCATCGATCAGCTTCCCCCAACCCCCGAAAAAAATAATAGCCGCCGCCGCACTGGTCTGCAAAGAAAGCCAAGAAGCAGCACAGATTTCAGGATATTATTTGTAGAAATTCGTATTAAGCGTCACTTTTTACCTCAAAGCGTCATTGAACTGCTTTAGTGGCGGTGGCTTTCAAGAATATCAGATTACACCGAAGGGCGGTGACGCAGAGCAAACCAGCACTGCAGCAGCTCTGTAAACGGCAGATCGACACAAAAACGAACCTACCTTGCCTGGTCTGTTAAACATCATTCTTCCACTGCCTCACGGACCCTGCACAAGTCTTCCCACACAGTTGTCGCCTTCGCTAACTATAACTAGGCTACTGTGCGTTCTTTGGCACTTATTTTTTATGCTACATAATGATACTCGATAGACAAATAATACTATTATATTTCTTTTTCAGGAAACAGCATGCTGTATCGAGAGCCGACCGAAGCAAAAACAATACACACTACCTGATTGGAGATAGCACAAAAAGAGCTGCAGGGCGGCTGATGCAAGGACTAGCCCTACAAGCCTTAATACGTTGTTGTTGTTGTTGTTTTTTTCACATACATTTGCAACAGCTGCCTGTGTCCCACGTGTAGTGCATTGTTAATCAAATCAAATCAAACTGTAAGGTTACCCTGTAAAAGTACAAACAACACTTGGGAGAGATAATCCCTTTGTCGGTGTGATAGAAATTTCTCGTAATTTATAATTGATAAGTATAAAAAAATTCATTCAGAGGAAAGGCATAAAAAAGAGATATTAATTAAAAAAAAGGAGGAGGGAAAAAAAGATATAAAGAAAAGATCTGTGTCGGGATACGATCCTACGACCTCTGGATCTCGCAATATTCACCAATGTTCTTGCAATCATCCCGCTGAGCCATGGCGAACTCCGTACTTTGCTTGTGCAAATATTACACTATTGACGTGGCGGTTCGAGTTTCTTCAAAGGAAATGGAAAGTAACAAATGTTTGAAATTCACCTATGTCGTATAATAGTTACTATTTATTCCTGAGGTTAATCTTGTACGCCATATGCGACGTTTATCATGTCATTCTGTATTGCGCTTTGTTCTTCAAGTTGAACACGGCGACCGTCATTTGTAGCGCGCGCGCGAGTGGCTCAGTCGGTAGAGTCGCTGCCTCCTTGCCTTGCTTTGCGATACGTGGCTGCCAGAACGGCGCCAGTTCGAATCCCATGCTATGCTATTATTGTCATGATTGATATTGTGTGATTGACTTATGTTCCAGTTTCTTGTACATGTTTCAGGAGTCCTAAAGACGGACCTACCATAGAAATCGTTGTATTGTGTTCATAAGTCATCATTGCCACATGCCGTATACGTATGGCGGTGGCTCGTAGTCCGTGCGTTCGTGCCCAGCTTCATTGTATCGACTTTTTATTTTGCACACGACCATTGAATTGAATAATTCTCACATATAAATGTAAGAATCATTTAACAAACTCAACTAAACCTTTAATCCTGCAGATTGCACTTTTGAAAATGAAGACGTGTAATTACATATATTAAATGTACAATTGTGACGTTACAACAAGAATATATGCCACTTACAAGGGGATTTCAGTAAAATTGGAATGAAAATAGGGAAAAAAACACTCTCCGAATATATGATGATCCTGTGGGGAAAATTAGTAGTACAACTTGTAGTTGCAAAGGGTAGAATGTCCCCAACCCATTCATTCAGAACTGCGTAGTAATATATTCGTCAGGACGGTCATGTGACCTTCCCATGGTGACACGTGAGTCGATGTGTCAATCTTGACTGTCGCCATGGCAATATCCAAGCCGGGAAACCCCCTCTGCCAGCGGTTTGTTACTTGTTGCCTAGGCGACCGGCGACGGGATCCTGTGGGAGAAAGTACCCGTTGTAAATCCGATACATATTGTCGGAAAACGATCGGCTTTGTATCCGAAATTCAGAACCCATCGGAAAAGAGCCGTTGAACGGTCAGGAAATGTACATTTGAAGACACTTTGCCGATAATAACCCGTTCAACGCGACGTCGTGAGAGAACGCCGCTCATAACACGTCACTTCTACAGACGCAGTTGAGAATACTTTTCTGATATGTAAATAGCAGAAACCCGACCTCCCCGTGCACTGTGTGTGTATTTCACTTCAGTGTAGCGGCTTGCACCCAAGCGTAATGGTTCGCGAAACGCACGGCAGGTTTTCGGTCATTTTGCCGGTGGAACGTTCTATCGCAATAGGGGTGCCCTAATTCCGACCTAGTGTTTAACACAGGTCGATCTGAGAAGAGAGTTTAGAGATTATAATACACAAATTATGACTAAAACTATCTACAACTGCTTTTCTGTCCCAAACAAGTCCTCTTTTTACTATTACGCGACTTGCTCCAAAGTGGCTGTTTGAAAAGCAAAACCTGCATTTTTGACACGCTCGTCAACCCGCGAACAAGCGTCGAATTCACACAGATTTTTCACTCGTCTGTTGTAGGAGTGTACGAACTACAACAAACTTTGTGAGATTACCGGTATCAACACAAAAACTTTGTCCATTCTTGTGGTTATTTTTAGGCACGTGCTCCCATGCATAACGCCGCAACAAGGATTTTTCAAACTAGTTCGGTATTAGGGATGGGTCGGAATTAGGGCACTCCCCGTTAATTCTTGAGGCAGGTCAAATAAATATAGAAATAAATTTTGTGATTCTAAGGAATATCTTGATCTTGAAAAGTTACAGTGCAACACCCCTCTGTTGGAGTAAGACGCAAAGGGGGGAGAATTTGATGAATAACAGAATATCAATTACATATTGTAATGACATTTTCACCACATTTAAAGTATATAAAATGAATAAATAAACTATCAGACAAAAAATAACAGTTTAACTGTGTTCCCCACAGAATCGTTCAGCCATGGCAGATTTCGATGATTTCCCAATGAGTGACCCTGAGCCAGAAGAACCACCAGTCGTGTCGACACCTGCACCTGTTATACCCATAGTGGACATCCCTACTGCAGAACCCCCTCCCTCACCCTCGCAACATGGAGACGACCAATCAACAGCCAGGGACTCACCTAGGTAAGGCTCAGAAGCCTTTCATGAGGGTCTGAATGGAGAGTGGGGTAATGCTTTATAACCAAATATACTTATATGCTGCAAATTGCAACAAAAAAAATATTGGGAAAAACAGTACTAATGTCATAGAATGCCAAAATCAATTCCAAAGGAAAAAAGAAAATGTGAAGAAATGAAAATGTAGAGTCTATTATTTGCCAAATCAATGCGGCCTTACGAAAAAGAGCATGTCGGGTTTCCTACAGACATTCTTGACCATAAAGATTTGATGCCTAATTTTTGTAGCCTGGTTGCCAAACCTATTATAGCTCCTGAGTCCTACAATCAATCAATCAATCATCCGCGGGCTTCAGGGTAGAAGCATGGCGGCCGTAGACAACCTACAGCCTCTCCGCAAATAGGCTATAGGACTCAGGAGCTATAATAGGTTTGGTAACCAGGCTATAATTTTTGAGTTCCATCACTGATTTGTTGTGAAATCTCTAGTGAGGAGGAAACAGAGACAGGGCAGTCTGAGGTGGACTCTGAGAGACCCCGAGCTGATAACAAATTATGTTAAATTATGAAGACTATTATCAATCATCCGCAGGCGTCATGGTCTCAGATGCATAGCGGCCACAGTCATGCACAGGTCCAGCCAGGTTGATTATTATGGTTACCTATTTTTAGGTCCAATACACTGATTTCTTGTACAATCTCCAGTGAGGAGGAAACAGAGACAGGGCAGTCGGAGGTGGACTCTGAGAGACCCCCGAGCACCCGCCGCAAAACCAGACGTAAGAAGAAACGTCTGGTGAATGGGGTGGACATGACGCCTCCGTCGGAGCTGCTCAGGAAGGCGGAGAGGAGGGCCAAGAAGTACCGGGGGGACAAAAAGGTTTGTTTGTTTGTCTGTTTGTTTGTTTGATTAGGACCTCCATTAGTGCGACAATTCACACAGTCTTTTCTTCCTGGAGTCCTGGTGATGATGTAAATCATTGTGTGCCGGATACCAAGAAGGTTAAACCTCCTTGCTGATACATACAAGACGGGGATTTGCCAGGCCTCCATCCGGGTGATTTGGTATGGATGGTTTGGATGGATCCTAATCTCATGTACACATGTATGTTCACCTTCTACCTACTACAGGTATACAAGATGATAACTGCATTTTTTTGTTGGAGAATATGGTTTTAGGTTGAAAGATATACATTGTGGTCTACTCATATGTTTTAAACACAAAGTTATACACATGTTTTCAATACCTGGTAGAACCATATAAATGTACCAGGATCTTGTCTGTCACTAATTTAGTCATTGTAAAATGGTGATTTAATCATGTTCACCAGATGAGTGTATGGCAGAGTTAGTCAGATGTATGGCTGATATTGTTTATTGCAGGTAGATGAGTGTATAGCAGAGTTAGTCAGATGTACGGCCCTGTCCAGAGTTGTGTATGGAGATGGTGACTGGAGACTGGCAGAGGCTCACACCAACCTGGCAGCCGGCTATCTGGAACTCAGGGGTAGGTACTAAGGCCACACCAATTTAATTTCTTGGTTAACGGATTTTTCTAGAAAAATAATAGAACGGGCGGGCGAAAAAAAAATAAAAATAAAAACAAGCCTAGGCATCCTATTATGGCCCAAAATGGTACAATAGGAGCCATGAAGGCAACACACCAGGCTGGTTCAATATTTAAACAATGAATTTTGAACTTTTAATGATACCATTGCATTGAAAGATGGAATAACTGTAACAACTAGGATGAAAACGTCTGTTTTCAACTGTTCAGGGCAAAATATGAGCATTTTGCAGTTGATTCTGGATTTTTATTTTTATTTGTAAATCAGAAAAAAATGAAGCGGCGAATCCGTTAACCAAGAAATTAAAATGGTGTGGCCTAATATTGTGCTCTGAGAGCAGGGGTAAGAGTAATGGTCAAAGAGTTCAAACTTGTGTAAACTGAACTACTTTGTTCTTCAAATACAAATGCTGTCTAGCCTGGGAGCCATCTGTGTTTTTTTCGGGGTATGACAAGGAGCTCTGTTGCAAAATGGATGGTACCCAGGCTGAATGCTGTCTTGGCTTTTGTTCAAAATTAAATGTTTTCAAAATTTCTTTGTCATGATTCTCAGGATAGCCCACTCATATCTAGACCCACGCAAATCTACATTCTTGGATAGGCAGAGACTATTCAGAACTGTGCCTGATCCTAACCCTAACCCGTTCAGGCATATGGATAGGCATGTAGCACAGACCTATGCTATAGATTAGGGCTGCGTACCTAAACGTAACATCAGGTACAGGTACAGGTACCGGTACAGAGGTTTAGGTACAGGTCCGGACCTGTACCTGAACAATTTGACAAATTAACACGTGTTCTTCACGGAGGCTTACGCGGCAAAATACAGACACAACACAAAAGCAACAAAGGCCTCTGACCTGATTTGAGTTTGTTGACCAATCACAACCCTGGATCAGCCACACTCTCGCAATGTCTAGTGAGACTGAGGATCTCAAATCAATCGACGGTGTTAAACTGTTAACGTCTTTTCCAGTGCTAATTTTTCGTCTTAGTGGTAGGATTTACCTATCTTTAGTCATATACATGGTGTAAACTAGCTAGCTATTTCGGTATATACTCGTTACTTCATGATCCGGTATTTTGGACCTGTACCGAAACGATTTTTACGGTATTGGACCGGTACAGTGTACCGGTCCGCAGCCCTACTATAGATGCAGCAGATATCAATGATCAACCCTGCCCCTACTGTCTGTCCCAGGCTTGGCTCCCCAGGCCCAACAGCATGCAGAGACGGCACGTTCTATCCTGCTGGGAGGGGTGCACACTTCTCACTCCAGCGAGACCAAAGCTCGGATCCTGGAGGTCCTGGTCAACATGCACCTCATCCTGGGCAGGGCTCTCACTTCTCAGAAAAAGTATCCTTTTACTGCCGAGGGCTACACAACATGATGACAAGATTACAGTCTACACTGATGTTGGTACTTGTAAGCATGTCGGTAGAACGTACTGCGCCTGCGCGAAACCCTGATTTTTCACAGTTTTCACTGGATGTTTTGTCAACATTGCATCAGAATTTTGCCTGTTGCAGACAATATCTTTTCCAACATAACATTTCAAAACCATACACGGGTGTCATCCTCAAAGTGCTATGCACAATACATTACAGGTTTTGCAAATGTGCAGTATGTTCTGCTGACGTGCTCTCCATAGTCACCGCTGGTCTCTCTTGTTGCTGGCAATGGCTACTGTGTAATACTAATAATGTGGAAGACAGAAAATTCTCAACACGAGGGCTTAGATGAAAGCACTATAGAGCACAGATTGAAATGATCATAACAAATTTTTTAAGTGGGAAATGTGTAATGTAAGTTATGCATATGGGATCCAGTATTTTCTAATGTATTAAAGATTGAAGCTGTAGACTTCTTGAGATTTTCTTTACCCTTTCCTTAACTTGAGTGTAAGATTTCGTGAGGCCGAGCACTCCTTAAACAGAGCGTCTAAGGTGTGTGAGGAGAGACTGAAGGTACCCGGCCTCAACAGACTGGAACAGGCAGACCTGGAGACTAGGGTGGCCATCGCTCAGGGAAAGTAAGTTCATGTCAGTCATTTCATTATGTTTACCAAAGGAAAACATATGGTTTTTGCTCTGTTTCCAGTTTAGCACTGCCTTTTCTCCTTTATACATGTACAAAATGTATTGAGGTTAGAAATTTCGTTTTAAATTGTAAAACATGGTTTTCTTTCTAGACTGTACCTTGCTGACAAGAATCCTTCAAAAGCAGCAAGATTCATGGAAAAGGTAACGAAACATTTATCTTTATCTTCTTGGTAATATTTAATTCTGAACGTTTGTCTAAATACTCAGAGTTTCTGAATAGTACTGCTCAGTAATTGTCAAGATATCAACAAGTCCTTGCATTGAGTAATCTTCAAATTTATTTCAAAACACCAAAAGCAAACCTTGCAGCAGGGATGAGAATCCCTGAATTGAAAGAGTTAAATGCGTACAGAAAAAAAGTTACCATAGGCAAGGCAAAGAAAATTGGAACTGTTGGCTAAGATTTTGTCTAGAAGTACTCCAAATGACATTTTGTTTGTGAATAGTACATCTCAGTTATTGTCAGGATATCAAGTATTTGAAACTGTTAGCTAAGATTTTGTCTTGTTCAGGCTGAAGACCTGATTAAGGAGAACCATGGAGAAGACAGTGTGCAGCTGATTCCTGTGTACCAGGATCTGGGGAGGGTATCCTTGCAAAATGGTATTTCTCATAGCATAGATAGTATGTTTGATCATTATATGATTAACATTTCACTAGAGCCTCAACTTTTATTGTGTTAGTCAGTATAGCTAGGGCAGGCTAATCACTGCATGAATATAGCCATTAAGTTCAGGGCTCAAAAGGAGAAAATAGCTGAAACATTCAAAATGTTCAATTTCATCAGGTAAATCAGTCTGTAACTGTTCATAATTATGTAAAAGACTTCAGAGTTTATGTTCCTGTATTTCTCTTGCTGTAGCAGCTTCTATTGTATCCAGAATCGTGCTTTATCCAGACCCATGCTTAGCCTCAGTTCAGACACGGTTCTGGGTAAGTCTAGAACTGTGTCTAGGATATGTTCTTGGATATGCAGAGACAATCCAGAACAGGGCCTGGTTCTAACCCTAACTAATTCATACTATAGACAGGGATATGATAGCCTTAACCCAGCACCCAGATAGAGCAGAGTAAGGGTGACGACACAGACCATGACAAGGCTGTGGAGTATTTCCTACAGGCTCACTCCATCTCTGGAGCCAGCTACGAGTCAGGGAGTGTGGAGATCGGGAAGACGGCGTACGCACTGGCCATGGCGTACTCAGCTTCAAACATCGCAGAAGGAGAAGGTATACCGAATAGATTATTATTGGACTGAGAAGAGCACTTTAGACTTAATGCTTATAGCCTTCTAGACCTTCTAGTCATGAACATCTGTGAAACTCTCATGACAAGATGGGGTGATCAACATGACTCCAACTGCTGATGTCTGTGTTGTGTTGTGCAACCTCAGCTGAAACATACTAAATCTCCAAGCAGATATTTTGGTGGCTGCAAAGACAGAATCAAATTGGCCATTTGCCAGTTATTTCATTTCACCACCCAAAATAGTAACTCTCTGGCAAATGGATACTGCTTGGCCAATTTGATACTGTCTTTACCTACGTACCTACCTAGTCCCTTGACCTCCTTGTTGTTGAGGGGACAAGTTAGGTGATAGGATGGACAGGTACAGCCACCAAAAGATCTGCTTGGAGATTAGGAACATACTTCTGATGCTTGTGTTGTGTATATACAGCTTCAGCAGAGACGTACCTGGAGGAGTGTGTGGGTATCTACCAGGTGACGTACGGACCTCACCACCCAGAGACACTGAGGGTACAGGACCAGCGATGCAGGCTGCTAGTCAGGATGGGCAAACAGGAGGTCAGCTTTACTGGTGTTTGTGCTCCTTCAATATAGTTTTGTAGTCAGATGTGGTTCTTGTAAAGCTTTTAGACATGTATTATGTATGATATACTAGTATGTGTAGAGCTGTGTACCAGTATACAGTACTGGTTCTGTACTGGAAAAATTGATTAGGTACAGGTCCAAAATACCTAATCCCTAAATGTCAGTACTGTACCTAATTAATTTCACACCAATTATATGCTTATTTGTGACCTAGAAGGTGTAAATAGCTGGTCCTTCATGGGTCTCAAAGTAAGGACTGTGTGTTTTGTGTGACAGACAGACAGTGCTAAGTACCCTGAAAGCTCTGTTGCATATTAGTTACGGTATGCTTCCTTGGGAGTACTGCTTCTTTCAAGGTGAGAGACATTACTTGTTGTGTAAAATAGAAAACTCCAATATCTCATCATCTCCCCCTACACCCTCTCAGGAAGCGCTGGAGGCCCTGCGGTTTAACCTCCGACCCAAGATGTCAGCGTTTGGTGAGTACAGCGAGGAGGTTGCAGAGTCATACCAGCTGAGCGGCACCATCCGACTCACACAAGGCAACATGGAGCCCGCACTCAAGAGCCTCAAGAAGGTACGAGAGGAATCTCTAAGATTTTTCAACAAACTGCCCTGCAGTTCCAGAACAAGGCGCTAGGGAGCCCAAACTCATGTCACTTCTTCCCTAGCTCAAGAGCTATCTACCAACAAAAATTTAATGACCCTAGCATGTCCAGATCATGAGATATCAAAACTGGAAGTTCTGCTGCAGTACCAGCAAAAGCCACTAGGGCGGCCCAAAATCTAACCATTTCTAGATCTCATCAAGACTTACCCACCTACCAAGTTTTATGACATTGCATGTAAAGCTTCTTAAGTTATACTGTTCACAAACAAACAAACAAATGGACAAACAATACTGAAAACATAACCTCCACACTCCCTGTTAGGGAATAGAGATCAAAGACTTATAAAATGGATACTAAGAAAAAGGAGAGTTAGAATTTTAATCCCATTGATTGAAACATTGTTCCAATTCCCCTACAGGCCCACATGATCCAGTCGAACCTGTTTGGTGCCGGGCACAAAAAGGCCAAGGCAACACAGCAGCTCATCGATATGATCACAAAGTAAGTCACTCATCTTCCCTAAGGCTGGGTCACACAGGGCAAAAAATATAATTTGGCCTGTGTCTAATGATGCATGGTGCAACAGATTTTTTGAGTGTGTAAACAAGCCTACCGCTTGCCGCCGCACAGCGATTTTCCTGTGGTGCATCTGAACTAGCTTCCATAGCATGCCAAAAACTGGGGGTTTTGGGGGTCTTCAGGAGCTTTTATGTGCTATTTTCTGATTGCATGTAGACAACATAGCCGGCCTGGTTGAATTACCCATTTTTAAAACTAGGCTAATCAGAAAACAGCTGAAGATCACCAAACCCCCAGTTCTATAAGCCTGCTACGGAGGCTACATCTGTTCTGAACATGCATCTGTATGTGCCACACAAAAATCGACGCATGGCACACTAAAAGAAATCTGTCCTACAGAACGCACCGTGCGGCATTTGACGCTGGTGAAGATTTTTTTGACCCGTGTAAATCTTCCCTAACGCTGGTGTTCTCTATAGCCCTAGGCTGTTCTCTACAGACACTCCTTTCTTTGTATTGACAGAACCAGACTGGGTATAAACTAGTTTGCCTGACAAGTGATTTGATTTGCCAAGAAATACAGAAATGACCGAAACAAAGAGACGCAAATCATAAATATACATTGTACCAGCTCGCACTCTGATGCATTTTTGTATCATGTATGTAGAAGAATGTGTACAGTTTTGTTTATCGCAGCAATTGAAATGATATGAAATTTGTTGTATATTATGTTTGACCCTTACCTCTTCCCTCATGACCTCAAGTAAAAGCAACCTGCAGGCCAGTTTGAGCCTCCTATGAATAAAAATTGGGTAAAAAAAATACTGGCTGCATCATATTCACAGTCACAATCTGTCAGTGGTGAAAATGATTTGAAGTCGTTCTGTGTTTGATGAATTTACAATATTGCAGAACAAAAATCCTACATCCTACAATTTTGCATTATTAAGTTGAGAAGGTTGTAGTATGGACGCTTGTGTATTATTTTGCAGAAAATATTTCCAAATTCCAGAACAAAATTCTGACTCATCTGCAATATTGCAGAGCACTGAAGAAAAGCATTTCAACCACTGTAATTGCAGCTGCAATCAATGGATTTATGGTTAGAAAGTAATTATGTTGTTCTGTGTTTGATGAATGTTTGTGTACCCAACAGCACTCCTTCTGTTGCTGCCAAGCAGACATCTACAGACAGCAAGAAGCCGCACTTCTCAGCTATCGTAGGGAGGAACACTCAGCTTGGCGGGTTCAAGACTGTGTTGTTTTGAGGAGTCATAATGTCATACGTTGTTGTCATAAAAATCTTTATCAGCTTTTGAAGAAACAAAATTAATTAAGTGCAAACAAAACAAAAAATACACAAAAGACGTCCAAGTTTGTTTCCTCACCATGTTGTCTTTCATGAAAAAAAACTTCCAACAGTTACTGTTGCTGAGCCTTTTTTCAGCATAACTTCTGTCATGGAATTGTGGAAATTGATAAGTGTAAAATTTTGTAACATTTCAAAATTCCATTCCAAGATTAGGAAGAAAGAGAATAGGAATTTGCACAGTTGTAAAAAGTAAGTTTGACTGTGTTCACAGAGAATTTATAATGTTCAAAATTAATCTGTAAGACAATCTCAAGACAAAAGCAATAACTAAGAAAGATAAAACATTGTGAGAAATTGTGAAAAGTGAGAAATGTATCTTTTTGCAGCATATGATGGAACTGTGTAGTGTTTGGAAACATTTGTTGTCATTTAATATTTTGATGTAAAATTCAGACTTGTTAATAAGTGTATTAAGGAATAATAAGAAACTTATTAACAAGCTTCCTTTTCTTATAGGAACTATTTAGTATTTGGCATGACGAAACACAATGCAAACAATACTGTGAAAGAAATAAGAGGTAGACTTGGTTCAATTGTATCTGTACATAGCCTTTATTGCTCATCATAAAATAAGTACATAATGCAACATTCAATTAGGTTAAAATAAAAATACATGGCTTTTTCCACAGAGACATTCTAAAAACTATATTAGACATTATCTTGTACATGTAACGTTACTTGTAGTCAGGTGGTATGTTTCGTGTTCAACACTTAGTCTACATACATTATTTATTCCCAGTTCTATCTTGTCTGCATGCATATTTTGTAAATGTTATGAATTTGTCAACTAGACAATACTTAGAACTAGAAAGGTAACATTTGCAAAGCAAATGCATAATGTTTACCTTCGCAAATGGTCTGCTCTGTTAATTCTTACTCAAACACATCCATTAGATACACATGGTGACAGGAGTCTAAATCACTCCTGCTATAAAATTGCCACATGATGTAACACAACATCAGTCACCATGGTGACAGACATCTGGTCCAGGTCTTTGACCTTATTGGTTTGAAGAAGAAGAGTAAACAGAGCAAAAACATAACGAGCAGCTATAGAAAGTCAAGTGCAATCTGCAATGTACATGTAGGGAATGCTTAGTTAAGGTTGTAGAACAGATGTTATATTAAGTGTTTCTCAGAGTTGACTTCTTAACAACTTCAAGAAATGTGCATCATAGAAGTTGTTAATAGGTTCTTACATGTATGTGTTACATATTCTTTCCAGTCACTTTACAGCCTATTATTTTGTATATGCATGCATGACTGTATATTTGTAGAGTGTGCTGTAAGTTAAGCAGAGACTAGTCTGTTGAATCTGTACCTAAGGTGAAACATATCATTGTAGTTAGTTCAGATACTGTAACAAGTGTCTGAATAAATGCATGTTGATACTACAGATGAAGTTCCTTTTTGCATCTACAATGTATCTAATAGTATCAAGAACAGTACATGTGTAGGGTGGCCCAGTGTGCTAGCTGTGGTGAAGCCACATTGCTCGTAGTCTACCACATAAGTTATCCAAAACTGTGTGTAACACCTTGCCTCATTTTGAGGATAAACTACTCTTATCTACCAAGCTTGTAAGCCAGTTCACCATCTGTTTTGTTTGAGAACATTAGTTCTACATGTAAATCCAACAAAACTGCTCCTCTTGCTCTAGTACTAGGTTCTTGGAAGACTCATTGTAGCAGCCACCTTCTCAATAAGCGACCCCGTTAAACCAGTCCTAACCATTGCACATCTAACTGTAAGCGTTGTTTAATGCTATCTATCTAGTGAAGATACCCCTACGTACTGTACTTGGTGGCAGTAAGTGCTTCAGGATTTGGAGACACAGAATTCCAACCCCCTACTAGTATCATGATGAGAAGTTCACATAGAGTCATGAGCCTGGGTGCCATCCTCTGTAGGTTCCGCCAGGTCCCTAACGTCGCTGGCTACCACAGAAGCCAGCGACATTCCTTTCCGGCGAAAACTACAGAGGATGGCACCCAGGCTGTAGAGTCATATTTTCAACAACAAATTTAAAGGACTGGGCCCTACTAGGGTTTGGGTTGGCATTCGGAAGGGCAACCAGCCATTGAAATCTTGCTCCAAAAAAAAAAGACTTGCATTTGATGCAAGCATGACTAACCTCCGTTCCAGGGAAAAATGATCAGAATCTGTTAAAATTGGATTAAAAAAAAAAACAACTGACATAATACATTGTAGTTTCTATGCAGTAGCAATTGTCAACGAAATCTAAAATCAACACTACTTAAAACTAATCGGCTAAAATCGACACTACTTTTGACACATCACTTATCTAGTGTGCTGCTGTAGTAGTCAGATGCGTCCTGTGGCAGAGCTTCCCAGCCGTTGGCGTGCCGTTCCACGACTTCCATGATCAGGCAGCAAGCAAACCAGAGATCAGAATGCTTGGCTGAAAATACTAGCATCGCAAGGCTGCACTGCACCTGGTCTACTTGTCTACAAGTAGCTGTGAAAAAACTTCATTCTAAGTACAGATTGCTTTACCTTATGGTGTGTATCAAGTTTGTTGTGAATGAGTTCAGTGATCCAACTTAACTTCCTTCTGTGCAAGTTCTACAAAAGTTGCACCAGTGCAGCTATGTATGCAGAAAAAAAGGATTTTGAGCCCTGATGACTGATATAGTTCCTATGCAGCACCCCCGTTTTGGAGGAAAATGACGTTAAAATTGGATTTAAAAAAGAAAGCAGTGGCAAATTTTAACGATACCGAAAACCTAGTTGAACACAGTGTGACTACTTTTGACACATCAGCTTGTCCAGTGTACTGCTGTAGTAGTCAGATGCGTCCTGCGGCAGAGGCTCCCAACCGTTGGCGTGCCGTTCCACGACTTCCATGATCAGGCAGCAAGCAAACCAGAGATCAGAATGCTTGGCTGAAAATGCTAGCCTTGGCAAAGCTGCACTGGTCTTAGTCTACTACATGTAGCTATGAAAAAAACTTCATTCTAAGTACAGATTGCTTTACCTTACGGTAGCTGTCAAGTTTGTTGTAGATGAGTTCAGTGATCTGTAAACAAGTTTACTATTAGTTTTGTATGAGCCCAAGTTCTACAAAACTTGCACCAGTGCAGGTATATGCAGAAAAAAGGATTTCAAGCCGTGACTACTGATATAGTTCCTATGCAGGGAGCTTTGAAAACCGCCAACATGGCAATATGCTAACCCTGGATAAATGAATAAAAGAGATAAAAATGCAGTGGCAAATTTTAACGATATCTAAAACCTGGTTGAACACAGTGTGACTACTTTTGACACATAAGCTTGTCCAGTGTGCAGCTGTAGTAGTCAGATGCGTCCTGTGGCAGAGGCTCCCAGCCGTTGGCGTGCCGTTCCACGACTTCCATGATGAGGCAGCGCGCGAACGGGCTGGTGTCCTTCCCCAGTGCACAGTCTCGTACTTTCTTCATCAGAGAGGACATACGTGACGGGTCACACTGCTCAAGGGTCTGGCCTATATGTTCCAACTGGAGAAATAGGGTGTACAAATTAGAAACAAACACACCATATCCATCCCCCCAGAAAGAACAAGTCATTTGAATACGTCATATTTCTTTTCTTCATCAATCTATTAAACTGTAAAAACAGATAATAGGACACTGTATAAAGTGATGTCAGTGTTGTATACACGAAAATATTGTGTTTTTTGTTAATATTTCTGTCATTACAATTAGTATTGAATGCCATTCATGTTCAAGCAATGAGGTGTTTGTTTTACTGAATTATAGGATCCTTTATCAAATTGAGTCTGAGTGGGGACAAAGGTTTTAACTTGAATAAAACCCTCCCGATTGGACAATTTTTCCCTATTTTGGCCAGAACTTTTGTACAGCATTAGTTACTTTGCCTCTCACACAAAGTTTCTTGAGCTGTATGAAACTACATGAAATAAAACTTCAGTAGCCTTCTCACCTGCATAGTACAGCACAGCACTTCATCATCTGATGCACACTTCGTACTGAGAAGCTGGCAGAAAAATAGAAATGCATCAAAACATGTCTTAAAACTGCAAACCATACAAAATGTACATTATACCACACAGATTGATCAGATGACATATCTAAATACATTTTGTAAATTCGTTAAACCAAATCTACGTCTAGGAAATACTGAGCTGAATATCTCTTGTGCATTTATTTAGGTTTGAATTTGAGATCAAAACATTCATAGTAGCGGTTACAGTAAACATAGCCAAAATTCTTAGTGGGGAGTATGGGAGCCCCGGCATACAAATAGGATGGCACCCAGGCTACCAGTGACACTGTGTGACAATGGAAATCATATGTTTGAACAGTATCCACCACACCCCTTACCTCCATCAGTGTGTCGTACACAGGTCCTACCAGAGCCTTCATCGGTTCCCCGTTGATGTGTAGAACTCCGAACAGCTGACAGAGCAGCGTCACAAACCCCAGGTATACAGCCTGGTCACTCGCATGGAGCGACTCCTTCTTCTTATAGTCTTCCTACAAGGAGAAACAAACAATTGTAAAACGTAAGAATTACAGACTTATTATATATAGGGAAGCTAGAAGTGAACAATTTGAGATGAAGGAAGCCATGTGTTATGAATGACTTAATGTGTAGTAAGTGTATCATGTAATATCTTGTTGAAAAGATCTATCTGAAACTGTATACTGCCTCACACTATTACATAAAAAAAACTTGTTTTGTTTGTTACACAGACTGATTGATTCCACCTCATGAAAGCAAGACATTTGGAAAAGGTTTGCCATATTACTCGTTTTGAAAAATTATCCACCTGAAGTACCCCCAGTAACCTCACCCACCTGTACGTTGGTGAAGGTTAGACATCCTTAGACATCATAGGTAATAAGATATGCAAAAAAACAATTACTCAAGCAACAGTCACTCAAGCAATTAGATATGATTTTCTAGTTGCTTGAGTAGCTGTTTTTTCACCCACCTGTAATCTGGTCAGTACTTCGCTCCTGAGTTTGACCCCGTCGACCTCGTGCGCTGCCATCTCCCCACACAGCCTGGCCCCGACCCGCGCAAAGTTCTGGTCCTGCAGAGACTTGTTATACGTCGTCCTCACCAGCTCCTGTTCAAGTTTAGTAATGATTAAGTCAAGTTTATTTCAGAAAAAACACATGGCAGCATATGTTGGTGAAAGTTAGACATCCAGGTAATACTATACGCCAAAAAGCAGTTACTCAAACAACTGGATATGATTTTGGAAACGGTCACTGACAGACGTTTCAGCTAGTATCCACTAGCTTTCGTCAGTGACTGAGAGACCAGAGGGGAAATGCAGGTTTATAAACACAAACTATTGATTGATATGCAAATAAAGTGAAGACAAATTTTTTTGAAGTCAAAAAGGGAACAAAAGTCAGACAAGTCAAGACAAGATAATGCAAAATTGCTGTGTTTCTGTACAAATTGTCATTTTAAAAGTTTGAACTGCTCTTGATGTATATTACATACACATCTAACACAAAAAAAAAAGATTCGTAAAAATAAAACAGACCTTCAGCCTCGGTCCCGTGGAGGCGTACTGCTCCATCTGCATCACCACGTCAGTCAGTTGCCATGACAACGACCCCGCCTCCGCATCCTCCAGGGTGATGGTATCCATGGAAACCAAGATGGCTGCCATGTCCTTGTCGACGTCTTTTTTGTCTTCCGCCTGTAAGGTTATATACAGGGATACGCGTTACTCAAGCAACTAAATATCATCTTGTGAACGGCCAGACGTTTCAGGTAGTATCCACTAGCTTTCATGGAAACCAAGATGGCTGCCATGTCCTTCTCGACATCTTTTTTGTCTTCTGCCTGTAACATTACAGAGATACGCCAAAAAAAGTTACTCAAGCAACAGGATTTGACTTTGGAAACGGTCAGATGTTTCAGGTAGTATCCACTACCTTTCCATGGAAACCAAGATGGCTGCCATGTCCTTGTCGACATCTTTTTTGTCTTCTGCCTGAGTATAAGGTTACAGGGATATGCCAAAAAAACAGTTACTCAAGCAACTGGATATGATTTTGGAAATGGTCAGACGTTTCAGGTAGCATAGACTACCTAATTTCCATAGAAACCAAGATGGCTGCCATGTCTTTGTTGCCATCTTTTTTGTCTGAATCTACCTGTGAGGTTACGGGAATATTTGCATGAACTTAATTTGCATAACTGGGAAGTTTCCATGCTTCCTTTCCCAGTACATCAAACTGAATTTTGGTTCAACAATGTGGAATTGTACGACACAAATTATAAAATGCATATTGCATTAAATAGCATTACATTTCTAATAACACAATACTGGATACTACTAGTACATTGTATATAACTTTAACAGAGTACGATATTATTGAATTGTAAGCTTTATTCTACATGTTGAAATGAGTTACCTTGGAGGGATAGTCCTCCTTCTTCTGAGCATGCTTGGGCAGCCTTGGGGCACCAGCAGACTGTTCCAGCTGTCTTCTGCTGTTCATGTTCTATTGCTGTCCTTTCTTTGACCTTGACCACTGTGCTGTCCTTTCTTTGACCTTGACCACTGCGCTGTCCTTTCTTTGACCTTGACCACTGTGCTGTCCTGTTCTTTCCTGTAGAATATTTTGGGGGAATGCATTTCATTTTATATTATCAGTGAAAAATTTAATGTATTGTCAAGCATGTAACACTACTAGAGGCCACCTCTGCTTAAAGGACAACTTTAGGCCATTGCAATGACTGTCACACTGACTCTAAAGCAAGTGTAAACTGTAATTTCCAATGTCATTGCATAATGTTGTTGCTGCTATTTGGTCCCTTATTAAAATATCATACAGTGATGTTACGAATAGAACCTTTCCTTATACCTAACATTTTTGTCTGGTCAGTCCAACTTTTTTATTTTTAATTTGAAAATGGAGCAATATGATTGGTACACCGGGTCAATGCTGTACAATTATGGATTATTCAGAGAAGAATTAATATGTGATATCAGGTGTAGATAATTCAAAATTGGCATCACGTAAGTAAACGACTATCAAAGGTAACTGCTGACTCACTTGTGGCAGACCGCGGTGTCTTTGACGGACACATAGAAATGTCAAGCCCATCATTCACGCACAATCAATCGGTTAGATCAAGATGTGTCTGTTCTTTTGTTGTGCAACACTGCTCATTTGGTTGTTAACCCTCCAAATGGGTTTCCATTGGCCTTGACACTTTTTAGTTTTTAGGTTACGGCTACTTTGAACTATTTTATTACCAAGTGGTGGCTGTCACTTGAGCAAAAGGATGGCATTTTGTGGCAGAGTAAGACCGCAGAGCCTTTGACGCACACATAGAAATGTCAAGCCCATCATTCAAGCACAATTAATCGGTTAGATCACGTACAGTTGAGTCTGTTTATATTAACTAGTTGTTTTGTTGTGCAACACTACTCATTTAGTTGTTAACCCTCCAAATGGGTTTCCATCGGCCTTGACACTTTTTACTTTTTAGGTTACGGTTATACAACTACTTTGGACAAGTTTGTTACCAAGTTATGGCTGTCATTCGAGCAAAAGGGTGACATTTTGATGTACGGTTTCTCCTTCCAACATTTTCAAAGTGTAATCATGCAAATACCGAGATGTCATTCTGATCACGCACGCAAGTTGATTTAGTATGTAACACTGCTACTTTTGTTGGTCATTACCCTCCTAGTGTGAAGTTAAATCTGCAGGAGAGGGGGCTCCACAAAACTTAAAGTTGAAGTTCTCTTTCCACCCTCTTATGGTTCTCACGGCTATTTGAGCATAGAGGCCCCCTACGCTGTGATTTGGACCTCCCATGCTTTGACTTAAGCCCCCAACTTTTTCAACCAGTATACATTTGACTTAAGAATGAATGTCACAGGTGTCATCATCATTGTTAGTCATCCACAACAGAGGTGTAACAGATGATACATATGATGTTACAAAAATAGTGTCTTAGACTGCTACTAGTATGACTATGAGCGTTAAGTTAGTTTTCGGGGAGAATACCAGACCCCCTGCTGTGGTCATGACTGTGGGACTTAAATGTGCAGAATGTTGTCCTTCGCCTCACAATTGGCCTGAGAACCCTGTGGACTCTAGATCTGATTTGGTTGGAGATTACGACAAACTATGACAAACCTGAAATTCCTATTCACACTATCAATCAAAAACATCAGGGTAGCAATGTCTTCTGAACATGTCGGTAAAAGTTCTGATGTCACAATCAACACCTGGGCTCGAATTAAGTGTTAGTGCTACCATCTACAAAGAGTAAAAGAAACTATAGCAATGGTTTCTGAACAGTTTTTAGTGTGATCCATACTATCCTAATTTCTCAGGCAAATCTGGTGCAGGCAAAATTTGTCTGGTGCAGGTAGTTTCCGATGTTACCTACAATATACACCTGTGCAGGTATGAAGAAATAGCTTCCATAGCAGGCTTATAGAACTGGGAGTTTGGTAAACTGGTCTTCGGTTGTTTTCTGATCAGCCCAGTTCTAAAAACGGGGGTAATTCAACCAGGCCGGCTATGTTGTCTATATGCAATCAGAAAATAGCACACAATCAGAAAAAAAAAACAGTTTTTGGCATGCTATGGAGGCTATGCAGAAAAAGATATTTTGAGCCCTGACCAATGACACCCTTTAAATTTGTTGTACAGACACCTGGGGGAAATGCCGTAGGGACTGCGCGTCATTGGAGTAATTATTCTATTAAATATTATTACACCTGAATAAACCACTGACCTCACAGTTGTCTGATGTAATCTGCCTTCAGGATATGAGGTTGGAAGAACATGAAACAAGACTGTCATTGAAGCCAGGTGTTTTTACTGCACATAATTATACGTTTGCAGCAGATATAATGCGTGCCTTGAGTGACAAACATTTAGAAATGCCAGGCAGAAAAATTGTCTTAACTGTAATGTACGTAAATGTAAATAACATACGTAGTTGTACATAAAGATCTAACTTCGCACGAAAGAATACCTGCAGATTAAAGTATCAATTCTCCATGCATTGACCCTAGGAGTGGCGTTAACTATCCGACCAATAGCGGCAAATGTCACAGTAGTTTCTGCTCTGTGACGTTCGCTCGAGCATATTCCTCTCTACGCACCCCAGACAAACTGGTCAGAATTTCAGGTCGCTGAAACAATTTTTACAGATTGAAGAAGTGCGGAGAAACACTTAAAGCACAGCATCAAGATGAAGTTTCTGGTGGTTCTCCTGTGTGGGCTGGTTCTGGTGAACCTGTGCGTGGCCCAGGACGAAGACTCCTGCTGTGCGGATCTCGAGGCTAGGTATATACTCGTACATGTAACCTACATCAGTGTTCTCACCAGGACTTTTTCACAGCACAGGGGGTCAGGTACAGAGTGGCAACTTTCGCAGCGCAAGTCGCTAATGCCGATTTTGGGGGACAGATTTTGTAAAGTTAAGGTTTTCCCTTTGCTATAGCTTCAACCTAAAGTAGTGTTAAAGCTGAGGGATATTTATAATTGATATAAATTTCAGCAATGTGTAATCAATAATGTTTTAACAATAATATTCCTTTTAATAGCATATTTTAAAGATATTTTGTTTTGACCACAGAGCAATTCAGGCATCTAGTAAGGTTGCCTGCGAGTCTGTTGTCAGAGTCGGTGTATTATGTAATGTTTGAGTTTTGAGCAGCTGGTTTGAGTCTTCTAATTAAACCATTCTACTACTACTACTAGGTACAACGAAATCTACAAGAAGAACGACGCGCAAATCCGCGAATTCCAGCAACGGTATTACGCACTGGAGAGAAAAGCTATTGAGCTGGAGGCCCGCGTGACGGAGTTGGAGGGTGAGTATTTTCAGACTTTAGGGTTCTCGCCAGAATTTTTTCACAGCATATAGCACAACAAGTATTTCCCCCCTCAGTTAGAGGGATCCTGGGCCCTACTGGAATTTGGGTTGGCATTATATTAGAAAGGGCATCCAGCTGTAAAAATCTTGCTTCAAAAAAGACTTGCACTAATGATACAAGCACGTCTACTGTAACCCGCAGTTAGGCCACAGAGATTTAATTTTATGGATGACATCTGAGCGTGCATTGATTTTCGCCTGTTCTCAAAAAAAAAAAGATCACGTCCACCGAGGCTCCCGCCTCGCTCTAGTCCATGGTAGTTACAATGTAGCGACAATACGAAGCCGGGCACCCAGGCTACCGAAGCTGCACGACTCAAGAACTCAGTACATACGTACAGTGCCGATTCATAAATTCCACAAAAAGCCAGCATGTGCCGACTTTGTCGTATACGTCGCTATGTACTGCCGCAAATTCACAGTACCAGCTTTGAATTCCTGTGGTTTAGTAGCATTTTTATTTTTGGCCGGAATTTGTTATTTGCCCTAGTTTGGGGGTCTTCAGAGGATGTCATCCATAAAATTAAGTTGGTGTGGCCTAGACCCACATTAAGGTTCAGGTCTGAATTCATCTCCAGAGGTTTAGGTTTAGCTCCGGACTTGTAAGTCCGGACCTAAACCCATGGCATGTACAAAATTGCATGTTGGCAACCTTGCAATCCTGTTTGGGAAAACTGTTACTGATTAACCTGCACTAACCTTGCCTCTACCAGGCTTTGGGAGGCGACTGGAAAGAGTAGTAATTGACCAAATAGAGAGATAACATGCCGGGAGAGTTAGTTCACTAAAGAGCACAGTTTGCCAATAATACCCTGCACTACTTGGCCAATTTCTACTCTTTCCAGCCGCCTCCCGAAGCCTGGTAGAGGCTAGCAATAACCTACACACACACGTGGCAGTATTTTGAGCCCTGCGATAGGACATTTCCTCAAGCTCACAGAGTTAGAAAGGACTTCCTTTACCAAGAAAAACAGTTTTAACATGGAGTACGCCAAAAAATAGTTACTCAAGCAACTGGATATGATTTTGAAAAATCATATCCAGTTGCTTGAGTAACTATTTTTTGGCGTATCGTATTACCTGGATGTCTAACCTTCATCGACGTTAACATGGAGTAGTCTTAATTCTTAATCCCAGGTGGCGACTATAACCTGTGAATTCATATTTGATTAAACACGACATTAGCACACACCTAGGATAATGGTCTCCACTCACGGCAGGCTCACATGTTTCATCAGGTGTGTCATTGAGACAAAAACCATAACCCCAGGGCATGGGGACGTTAGAGTAGCTACTTGTCTAACAAAAGTCATTTTACATTAGTAAAATTAAACAAATAACAAACTAAACACTAAAACAAATACTGTAACATAACAGACACTTAATGTTGCCTAAATTCAGATGTCCTTTGAAAAATAGACAAAATTAATCTTAGCTATACAGGCTGTTGTGCAGGAATGTTGACCTCTGTCCTCATGACCAAAATGATACAATGTCATGTAAATCTTACTCAGTAGATCACATACTAATAGATGATTTAAAAGGTTACATCCAGACACCAACTTCTCCCATCAGACATGGACATTAATATGTACGTCCAGTATAATTTTTATCAGGGACAGTTTGCTATAACGTTAACTTAATTAATAATACCGCATGTGTTTCATATCAACGGCACAGGGGGAGGGGTTGGACAAAAACAAAAGCACAAGCCTCAAGATCGATATAATCAAGCCAGGAGCTGATTTTTTTTCACAACGAATAAGCCAAGATCTAGATGAACGTGGGCATAACAAGGAAGAAGAAGAAGATCTAGATCTTGCTACAGATTAAGCCAATATTTAAGATCTGGCTAGATTATAAGCCACTGCATAGTGAATTTCAGAAACCTCATCATTTGATCATGACAGTGACGGCATAAAAGCTTTAGCACTTTTACTAGTAAAGTATACCTCAAAAGTTCCGTTGTGACGAAATTTCAAGACCGATGTATCATCTGAGATGGTCCTAAAGCTCTTGAAAACACGATACACAAATACAAGAATGTCTTGTTTCGCGTTCAAGCTTGTAGAGAGGGTCTAGAAAGTTGCAAATATATGTGGACGCCGGCGTTCTTGTCTCTTCCATGCATTTTACATGCCTTCACACAGATTCTGAAAAATGGTCAAAGGTTATACAGGGACAAACCACTAAATCCCAGGAGGTGGTGTACAAAGAAACCCGTAATTTGTAAACTACTGGCCACTACATGAAAAAAATAACATCATGTTCCTTTACAACGAAGGATAGTTTCAATTTTCTGTGAAAAGGTTTAAATTTTGTGAACAAGATGGGAGAAGGACAAAACTTCGATTTCTGGGTGACAGCTTACAATGGACTGTCCCTAAAATTCTGACCTGATTACCCAGATAGTGTCGATGAATTGGTGATAAAAGTATAACGGTTATGGGACTGTGTAACTGTGTGTTTTTATCTGTGGTAACGACAAAAGAATTTGAAGGCGACTGCGGTCTAGTTAATCTATCGTACCCGTGCCCGGAGGGTTCGGTTTTGTTTGATCTGACACTTCTGAAAAGAAATGTAGACCTGCCGTGAGTGGGGACCATTATTCTAGGTGTGTGCTTTTAATGTCGCACTTAACATATGGTTCGGTTGTGGTCGATACTTGTGATTACTAAATGCTCCCTTTTTTAATAGGATAATTTTCTTGGTAAAGGAAGCTCTTTCCAACTGCTGAGCTAGGTTATCATGAAAGCTCATCTGTGTTTGGTAGTTATCATAGTAAGGTGTTAAGTGTGTGTACAAATGTCGCACTTAGAATACTAGTGTGTGCACAAATGTCGCACTTAAAGTATGAATTGGTTGTGGTCGCCACCTGTGATTACTATTAATGCTCCCTTTTAGGATAATTTTCTTGGTAAAGGAAGCTCTTTCCAACTGCTAGGTGAGCTAGGTTATCATGAAAGCTCATCTGTGTTTGGTAGTGATCGTACTCATAGTAGGGTGTTAAGCTAGGTGTGTGTAGCCTCCACCAGGCTTGAGGAGGCGGCTGGAAAGAGTAGAAATCGGCCAAAATAGAGAGATCA